CAAAAATATACATTGTATATTTCATAACCTTATTACACATAATGCCTTAGACAGACCAAATGCAAGTCTTTTCAATTATAAAGAAAAATAGGAGGGGATAGCAGGAAAATTGTTATCAGATAGAAATTAAGAATATATCACAACTTCAAAGAATTATGTCTATTTCCATCTTGAACAAGTGTTAAAGCACTGATCTTACAGCATATCATGACATATAAAACTTATGTCAATGAAGTATGTACAATGTGCATGTATACATATAGCATATTTTTGTACTCCATTGTTAATGTAAAATTGATATATTGACAAACCATATGAGATAAGTGTATTTTGACAAACAAGGCCACTACTTGTGGTTAAACAACTTGCCTCATGTTCGGAAAGGCATTGCAACTGAATGAGGAGACTTGTACCTGTGAATAAGATAAATCATCCAATCAGATAACTCCATCCATTGCTAAAAGATATCCAATATTTGATTGATTGAAAGATATACCTATGCACTGCATTTACAATATCTTTAAAACCACAATTATTTTTTTTTCACATTTGATAACAAACACACCTGTAAAAAATTGTTAAAATTTTATTGCTGACTAGTTCTACAGAGACACATTTTTACTCCATTCTAACCAATCAAGATAAAGTTTGCTTCTAAACAAATGCACAGAATTGCCAATGCAAGCACAGGGACTTGGCACAAATTCACAATCCCCAGTCCATATATGAATCAATAATATATATATCTATGTACCTGGATCAAGAGTTCATGTCAAGTCCCTGTGAATGCCAGTCATGATTTTACTGTAAGTAGCCGGTGATTATCGATTTTCATACATAGAACAATTGTCCCTATGTTAAGGTAAATGACACCCATGCAGCTCTTATACCTGCAGGGATTTCTACATTTTGAGCTCTTATTCTTTTTAACTTTGAGCAATCATCTTTGCATTAATATAGATAGCAAAGCATCAAAAGGCATCTTTGCTTGATAAAATTTTCTTCCTTTTGCAATACTATTGTATACATTGTACATTCGTCACACTTTTTGTGATAAAATGCAGTCACAAATCCTCAGGGTTATGTACATGTATTTGGCATCTAATAGTTAATCCAGGGTATTTAGAAGATCTTAATATACTGCTTCAATATACTGTAAATCACTTATTTTTGGATTACTTGTATATTTCACCTTTAATTGCAAGTAGATTCTTTCGTAATTTCAAATCTATCTAGAATATACTTTTGCTGATGCTATCCTTAATAAATGACTTCAGTAGAAATCTTGAAAACATCTATTCACAAATAAGATAGTCAATTACCTTTAGAGAAATTAAATACCCATTAAAATAAAGTGGTTTACAGTATATCTGATTCATGAAACAATCTTGGGATGATTCACTTTACCAAAAAAATTCTGATGAGTTTCTTCAAAACAGAAGATTCTGTTTATCACATAACTAAATAAATGTAGTTACCTTTGCAAACATCTATGAAAACAGCAATTATTGCACTGATACAATATCAACTTTTGCATTATTCTGTTTCTTTATTTAGTGACAACATGACATCACTATATGAATATGACATTCTATTACTTAGTAAGTCATAAAGTAGCTTAAGGCAAATCTTTAGTCAATTTTAGTTCTGCTAAGTCATATCAAAACTTGTAATAAGGCAGAGAATTAATAATGTGTGTTATTACACACATAGTCATGTGATCACTATAATAAACCTATACAAATCATAGTGTTATGAGTGCCTGACAAATCACTCTGGATTAGACGTAGAAACATTATTGTGTTCTATGAATTTTTCTATTTCAATCAAATTTTGTTTAAAATATTAAAATACATTAAAACGTTTACATGTGTTATACCTACATCATCAAATTATATATAATTATACTGCCAAATGACATTTCATCATTTGCAAGTCAAACTAAATTTTATTATAATGTCACACCGCACACATCATATGAACTGCCAAATTCAAATAGCATGCATGCATTTTTTAGAGTACCTAATGGTATCTATTATCTAAATGAAATAAATGGTAGCTTTTTATAACAAAAACAAATATTCTCCCGAACATTTACTTCTATATATTGCAATATCTATTTCATCTATGATATAATCACTTTCATATGTATGGTGTTTCAAGGGAGACAATCATCAAAAAATACATATACCTACTGAAGGACAAACTGATCAGTACATATATCTACTGAAGGACAAACTGATCAGTACATATATCTACTGAAGGACAAACTAGATAGTAGGCGTGTACCTTCTTATTCTTGTTGTCATTACAATGTTCTCTATTAACAAGACATAATGATGTCAAAAATGTTACAATGCAATAAAAGACAATATTTATTAAGTGATATTGATGTAAAAATATTAAATTTTTTATTCATATTCCTTTTTCATATATATATATTAAAAGAAAAAATTAAAATCATATGTCAAAAAATAAAAAAAATGGCATCAAAATAAATTGTTTTAATTGAATTAACACATTAAACACAAAGATAAAGATATACATGTATCACAGACCTTTGTATACTGTTCAAATCTGATAAATTAATATGTTTCTCATTTAGTGATGTATAAAAATTGTGTAAAATCATATGAAGAAAAGAAGCACTAGTTTTGTGTGTATAGTTCAATACACATGATAACAAAGTTTCTTGGAACTATTACACATTTCACTATAATATGAATCACACAATCCAAAAATATCTTCAGACTAAACTCCTAATTCTAGTACAAATATTGACAGATACACTATAGAACATACCATTTCTTGCAGCAAAGTATAACATCCTAAAACACTACCCTAAGACCGTCATCCTACTACTACTAATATGAACATACCTTTTTGAACCTGCAGCCAAATTTCAATGTTTGGAAAAAAAGGTTTAAATCCAAGTGCATGTCCAAAATCCTCTTTTTGGAGAAAAATACTATTACACATCCCAAAACACTTTCCTCAAACCAACCCCCATTATCCTACTTCAAATATTGAATGATATACCAGAACCTTTACTAATTTTCAGCGATTCTTTAACCAAGAATAAAGTTCCAAGACATGTTAAAATACCAAATAAATTGGAGAAAAATACCTCCAAATTCCCTGATTCCCCTGAATCCCACAACCCAACACTATTAAATATTAGCATCTTAGAACATCCAACCCTGGGGTGATTCCCTAAGTCACCCTATTAGTTGAGCTAAAAAAGGGAAAAGACTTTTTGAATTGTTACATATTAAAATTATTTCATTATAATAATTTAATTTATCATATGAAGACCACACACTCTTTACGGTCAGCTATTCCAACTTTAGTTAAAGTCGTTAGAGTTATGTCCCTTTTATCTGTAGAGTTAACTCCCTTGATGTTCATTACATCATAGCCGTGCATTCGCCATTTTGCAAGGTCAAGCTTAAGCAGCAAAGAGATCAGTGGACGTTTTCGTGAAAAAATATCCCTCCCACCCGTCCCGTTTTCATTTCAAATTCTGCTGTGCTTTTTGTTTTTGTGTCTTTGCAGTGACCTGGACATCAGGAACCTATCTGTCAAGACTTCAACTACACTCCTTGCAGTGGCTCAGTTTTTTGCACTCTGAAACAGATTGCTTATTATTTCCTGAATTTAATATTAATGCCTCACTTACTAGTTAACATCAGCTATTTTTGGAGGAAAAACATTCTTATGCTGATTCAGTTGAAGTCATTGGCCTATATTCGCCATCTATATAAAATATTACATCCCTCAAAATAAATATGAACATAATCTGTATCAACTGTCTTGGTTATTTATTTAGTCTTCTATTTGATAAATGGTTCTATCACAATAATATCATTAGATTATTCTATAATAAAAAATGTTTTATAAAATAACATAAAAAACAATTATATCAAAATATAATTATCTTACAACATTACACCATACCTTAACGAAAATTTCAAAATATCTCATGGCTGTTCATCGCCCTTAACAATTTTTTTGCATCAGATCTGGGACAGATGTTATTTTGCGTATTAAAACATTATTTCTCTATCATTATTACAAGGGAACTTCAACTGAATGGCAATACAGACATAATAACTTAAAATGTACATGACAGTGTAACAGTAGAATTTTTTTTATCTCATATTTAGTCTTTCTAAAAACAAAACAGAATTTGGCAGCTAAATGAAAAGGCTGTGCAGATTGCACAGTAACAAACAAACAGATGGACAGATAAAATCAAATCTTCAAATGATTTGATTTATCATTTTTTAAATGAAACTAAGAATAGGTGGACAGATAATACTAACACTGTAAACACAAAATATTTAAAAAGGAGAAGAATGTCAATTTTTTTGTAAAATAGTGTTTCTCACAGCAGTCAACTTCAGGTGTCTTTTTTACATACAATAAAATATAGAAAATAGAACTGCTATACAAAAAATAATTTTGTAATGGACAAAATTTACCCTATCACAGATGAAGTTTTTAAAAAGGAGAATCTCATTTCTTAGGAAAAAATAGTGTCTTCTACAGCAACTAACTCTACATGTCCTTTTATTTTTCATATATACAACCACAAAAAGAAAATAGAACTGCTTTAAAAAATATTTTTTAACCAAATAAAAATTTACCCTATCATAGATTGTCACAAGAATCTTTGATCACAGAACATATTAGTCAATACTTTACCCTTTCCTCCTCTGAGCTTTAATATACAACGTCTTTATGCTGGCAAACTTTCACTTTGTCTATTTTCTTACTTTCATTATAAAAGGCGAGTTTAAGATTGATGCTAGACTTACAATATACATCTTAATGTTTTTCATTAACAATTCAACTCCATAAGCCAATAAAAACTTGCAAAGGCGAAAGTTGAAAAAGTTAATGGGTGAATGTTTCCTACTTACAGAAATTGTTAAACATTTGTAAATTAGATATAGTGTAAACTTTGATTGTTCTATTCATTGTACAGTTGCCAAGTTTTAAAGTATTGAGCAAGATGAGGACTTTTTATTTGTTTTATCAGCAGGTTTTGTTTCTACTTTTGCTGCTGTAGTTTTTGGCTCTTCAGGCGAAGTTACCTTTGGACCTTTGTTTTCTGATGATTTGGTGGTTGTTGAAGGGGAGTCTTCATCCTTCACTTTCTTTTCGACATTTTCTGATATTTTTGGTGATGAATCTGGACCTTTGACTGCAGTCTGACTACCAGTATTGGTAACTGGGCTAACATACTCTTGTATCTTCCCATGAAGTTCATCAAATTTGCTTCCATCCCAAGACATTTGCACTTTTTCATCACGGTAAAAATTGATGAAGAGAAGCTGTGTGAAGACCATACTCATGGGTCCAGCAGGGGGCCAGTCTATCTTCTCCAGAAGGAGGGGAACCATTGGCTTCTTGAGAGAATCTGCCAGGCTCACTTCCCTTCGGCAATTTGCTGATAAGGCATACTTGGTGGTAACACAGCTCAGGACAACCTTGCAGCCACGAACACCCCTGTCAATTTTATCGTAGAGTGAATCCCCACCTCCCATCTGGTAAATATCCATCCAGCAGCTGTATCCAAGCTCGTTCAACCTTCTATACAACTGCTTGATCTGGTTCTGTTTGCCCCACTGGTATGACAGGAACACATCCGGGGAGTCTTCTTCCTCCTGAAATAACAAAGAGTACATCCATGTTCTAGTGTGACCCAGTTTGAATTACACAAAGGTTTATACATTGATGGTGCTTAACATCTTTGCTGCGGCATAAACTACCCTGAGGGCGAAAATAAATCTTCAAGATTTTCTTACCCATGGGTATTTAGTAATTTACCACATAGCAATAGAATAGGTATATAAAAACACATAACAATGTACTGCTAAACAGAACTAACCACCAGATCAATTGACTGTCAAGAGCATGTTTTATAGCTTTTCAGATTGATCAGTCCAGGGAAAATTGAGTTACTTGTCAAAATGAATTTTCTAATTATAGTAACAGTGACCTTTATAAATTAAGTAAAATTGATATTTCCATTTGACCTTTCATATGAGACAGCAAGGCAAGATGTGTCAGTAAGGAAGCCTTATGTGAAATATGAGTTTATATTCTGTCCAATAGGAACTTGAGTTATTGAGCAATATTCGATTTGTAATAACAGCAAACTTGACATTTTACACTAAAAGCAATCTGAAGCATCTTGAAAAAAATCACCCAAATTTTACCTTCAAAGAAATCTCTTTCCCAGATGAACTTTGACCTTTGTCCCCTCCTTTCTTTTTGGTAATGACAATTTCTTCTGCCACTGGCATCCACCAGTTCTTGTACTCTGTAATTTTTTTTTAGATATATGGTATGGTTAAGTATTCAGCAGTTCATAAGAAAATAAACATGGGTACAAAATGTATAGATTTTTCCATTTTTCCCCTTTTCATTGTTGTAATTAATTCTATGATTCAAAGCTTACTTAAATATATTACTGCAATACAAAAAGTATAATGAATGATATATTTTCCTATCACAATACAATATTCATATTTCATAAAAAACATGGCTGGACCTTCACAATACCACATGAGAAATTGTGACCATTTTTGTACTTACCTTTGGTTATGAGAGATTCATCAGGCAAGGCTTGATACATGTTAAGTTGCATCAGCAGTTCCTGGAACTTGGGAACTGGCCAGTACCGTTGGTCTTTAGTCTCCTCCCCTCCACGTTGAAAGAATCTCACAAACAGGTACTCGCTGAAGATTGGTCCCATCGAGCCCTTCGGGGGCCAGCTCATTTTCTCCATCAGGAGGGGAATCATGGGTTTCCCAAGGTTTGTGGATAGGTTCACCTATATTTACAAAATTCTAAGTAACCTCATGGCAATGCATGTATCCTACCACAATATTCTGTAAAGTCTGGTCTACATCAATTATCGTTATTTCATAACTACTCTCCTCTTTGTTGTAAGTAAGGAAATATATACCTGATAATATGGAATCACCTCTCTGTTACAGTGGGGAGATATATACCTGATACTGACTACTCTCCTCTCTGTTACAGTAGGGAGATATATACCTGATACTGACCACTCACCTCTCTATATAGTAGGGAGATATATACCTGATACTGACTACTCACCTCTCTGTTACAGTAGGGAGATATATACCTGATACTGACTACACACCTCTCTGTTACAGTAGGGAGATATATACCTGATACTGACTACACACCTCTCTGTTACAGTAGGGAGATATATACCTGATACTGACTACACACCTCTCTGTTACAGTAGGGAGATATATACCTGATACTGACTACTCACCTCTCTGTTGCAGTTGGGAGACTTAGAATACTTTTCAGACACACAACAGATGATGATTTTTGCACCACGAATTCCGTTGTCAATCTTTTCAAACAGTTTGTCTCCACCTCCCATTTGTCCGATGTCCATCCAGCACTCATACCCGGCCATTTGTAGATGGTTGCGTAATAACTTGACCTCATTCTGATGACCCCATTGGTAACTTAGGAATATAGGTGGCGGTGTGGCATAGTCCACCTCTTCTTCAACAACGCCCTCTGAGGACAGTAATTGAATATAACACCAGAAATTAGATAAGTATAAAAAATATAATTATGATGTGGCAGTAAAAATTATTTACTCTTTCACAATTTTTTTCTCATCTTTCACTTTGAAGTATCAAAAAAGTAACAAAAAATTATACTTTATATTAGTTACAACTTTAAATGCTAGATTGGAGCCATTTCTGACCAGAGGTCCAATTTTGTACTAAAACTTACAAAAAAGGTACAAAATGTTATAACTTTGCTTAAGTACTGAAAAGTACAAGTTACAATATCAGAGGTATTCTTTACTAAAGGTATATAATTGGTGGGTTTCATTTCACAATTCTATTGCTATTATATATTGAAACTACAAATTAAAGGACATTGGAAAAGAGGAAAGTGAGATTGCAGAAAATAAGGGGGAAAAAAAGAAGAATATTTCTCATTGCATTATTTTTCAATGCCTGTCAGTCTCCAGTACATTGTTTGTTCAGTGTAACTAATCCTCTACATAATAAAATAGCAATGTTTACTGACCCACAGCCTTCATGGCATTCTCCACAATGGCAGCAGCATCCATCCTGTTCATCTCCTGTAGAGCTGTCAGTACAGCATGGGTAGCCTCTATTGTCTTGTGGGTGGCGTACCACTCACTAAGGAGGCCCATACAGGGATCATGCTGGGTCGCCCAGCCCTTGATGTCCTGTGGTGTGTACCCTAACCTCTGGGCCAGGAGTCTCCAGTCATGTTCTGTTGTTGGATTCATCAGCTTGGTCAGATCTCTTGACCATTTTGGGGCATTGGTCATGGTCTGTAAATTAGTAACTTATGATAAAAATAAACCTGATTTCAAATGGTGAATTTAGTTCTTGGGCTAATAGAACTGACTCTTGGCATTTTAAATATGAATATTTATCTTCTGTCTGGAAAATTAACATTTTTCATTCTATAAATACTTAACATCAAAAATGATTTTGTTCATTTTTCAGTGTCCTTTTTCGAAATCTTACTTACTTAATCTTATATTTCAGAAGATCTTCAGCATAGTTTACTGTTGTATGAACCATAAAATTAAAGACATGAACCAAAAACTGTTTTTTTTCCTAGAAATGCTAGTGCAATTAGCCATCATATCATTCCAGATTTAAACACGTTATCCAGGCAACAATAGCATATCCTTTAATATACCGCTATCTCTGTAAAATGTATCATACTGCAGACCATGAAAATTACAATACCATGTTTATAATATAGGGAACAGTAACGGAATTTTGAAATGGAATTAAAACTTGCCTTATTATCAACCTCTTCAACCTTAATCTTTGTTTCATCCAAATCTTTTTCCACGTTATCCACACGCTTATTGGTAGCTTGGAGTCCAGTTTTGACCGTTGCAATTTCTTTTCCTTGATTATCCACTTTTTTATCCACCACGTTAACTTTTTCTGTATTTTCTGTGACCTTGGTGTTGAGCACATTGATGTCTCCCTTCTGTTGTTTTACATCCTCCACTATTCCTTCAACACTGTAAAAGATTTCTTTTTATAAATTTCTATTTTTGACTTTTGTTTTTGTCTTTGCATCATCTCTGATATATAATTTCGAACAAATATAGATTGAAATTTTTTAAAATCTCAAACTGCATACTAGAAAAAAAAGGATCTTTCTGTTAAAAAAAAAAATTAAAGAACATTTTCCATGTTTTGAACAAAAACTGCTACATTAAAATTTTTTTTATATAATCTTAAGATTACTAATTCAAATATTCAAATTTGAATTACGAACTCCAGTTAAGTATCAGGATTCTAACAACGAAATTTATATTACCTTATACCATCCATTGCATTTAAAATAGCTGTAGCCATTTGTTTGACTCCAGCCGTAGCCCCATCCTTCTGCAATTCTTCAATATAAGGTCGGTATGGATTTAGACGCTCGGTACCATGCTCAGTACCTAAGGTGTGAATACCATCAATCAATGCTACTTGGTAAGTGGGATTGTCACACCTTTTAGATAGGTTCACAAACTCTTTCAAAACTGTATCAAAGAACTCCTGGTTAAAAAAAACAAGAGAAAAAAATCTTTACAGGTACCATAATGATGATTTTTCACTGACTGATAAAAATTCTAGTTATAATCATTATGACCAATTTATTAGATTGCGCCAAGGACACACATTAAATCAATAGTACCTTTTAATGTTAATTTAGAAATCAATACAATATACATCTAATAATGATTCACGACTATAACTACATCATAAATATACCTAATTGTATACTGTTAAATTAAACATTTTTGGTCGGGTCTCAATTTTGTTTGTTTTTTTGTTTGTTTTTTTTTTATTAGAAAAAAGAAAGAAATAAAGAAAAAGAAAAAAATTGTGGACACTTTATTTCATAGATATTTTTAATTTTTAGCTCAGTAAGTCCATTTACACTATTTTTTACAGTTCATGGACATATTAATTCAGGATCCAGAGCACTCCTGAAATCAACAAATATAAAACTCACAAAAATTACTGATTTCACAGTTTTATGTTTCTAGGACCCGTTAGTGATGCTGAGGGGCTAAATTGTTCAAATCTAAAGCTTGGAGTCAAATTAAAAAAAAAATCAAAATGGCTTTAAATAAATAAACCAGATGTTGAGATGCAAGAAATACTGATAACAAGAATTGTTTAAGGACAGAGAGACAGACAACAGATTATGGACAAGGAACTAGGGACCAGGGATGCAGGGCAATTGGAACATCCTTCACAACTGATGATGGTAGGCTAAAATGAATATTTTTCAACCTTTCAAATTTCATCATAATGAATAAGAACTTGAATGTATACAGACGGTAAATTTGAAGTGACATACCAAATTGAGTAAAACAATTTCAACGAATATTTGTCCATAATTTGTTTTCCTTCATTCTTGAGGGATCGAAGGTTTAAACATTCTTTTAAAGAAAAATTACCTTAAAGACATGTGTAAAATCACTTTCATTTCAAAACAGTTACTAATTGCAACAACAAATTTAACAGGCAGTGTACACAAGTGATGGTGATGTTTCCATTGTGAAGTACCTTGTGATGAGATACCAAAGTGATTCCAATAGTTTTTATAGCCATTGTATAGGTCAGCTCCAATTTTGGATTCTTTAGGACACGGTCGACGACATTCTGTCCAAACAGTTGTGGCTGCTTAGAAATGACCGAACACAATGCCAGCAAAATTCTGTACTGGTTGTGCATATTATCCATAAGTTTCTCACTGAACAACATATCAACATGTTTCTGTGTAAAATACTGAAAATATAAATAAAAATGAATTCAAATATGAATAACATGTATTAGATACAGGCCATGAAGTGACTTATCAACATTTATAAACAATGTACCTTTACATGTATTATGATAGCAGACATGTATATATGTTATCTACAATAGCTTGCTATAAATCAATTGGAGTTGATAAAAAAAAAAAAAAAAATTATGCATTTATGAAATTAAAATTCTAAAACTTTTGAGAGGTATCTACATTACACATAATTCATAAGCTTATACAAAAGTTAGCACTGACATTTTTTTCCAAACTAAAAACAGCATGATTGCCTTATCATAAAATATCAATATTGCTGAAAGTTCACTTAAGAAAAGTTTGATTAATAAGAATTGAGTTATTAAATTTCATGTGTACCTTGTCAGCAACTACAGATAAATTATACAAAACTTATATCAACAATAAGGTAACAATATTAGGCAACATTTATCACAGTCAATCTGCATATAAAGGTCACTCAATGGAGCAGAGAGAAGAGACCTCTATACGCAGGTGACCTTTATATAGAGATTCAGTTACTATGAGTTGCATTACAAAGGGAAGCAAAAAATGGTCTTTATAGACAGGTGGTCTTTGTATAAAGGTTGCCTTTAAGACAGACTTGATGGTGATATGTTCATATCTTTAATTCAACCCTTTCACTTTTTTATTATATGTAATGGTTTGTAGGATCCAGCACTACTAGGCCAAGCATTATGATGTTATTCCAGGGTCAATACAAGGACAAAATTCACAAGAAGGTTGCAGCTTGCATTAACCCCTCGTAAACTAGCCAACCAAAATGTTTCAAATATTAGTCCTTAGTAACCTAGCCAATCAAAATGCTTCAAATATTAACCCCTAGTAAACTAGCCAACCAAAATGCTTCAAATATTAACCTCTAGTAACCTAGCCAATCAAAATACTTCAAATATTAACCCTTAGTAAACTAGCAAATCAAAATGCTTCAAATAACATCCTCTAGTAACCTAGCCAATCAAAATACTTCAAATATTAGCCCCTAGTAACCTAGCCAATCAAAATGCTTCAAATATTAACCTCTAGTAACTTAGCCAACCAAAATGCTTCAAATATAATATAAAAACTTTATTTATTTTACAACAATTGCGAAACAAGTTATTTCAACTTATACTAATCACTCTTGTTGGCTTGGATGTAAGCATGCGAGGGGTCTTATTGTGGAAGGAAACCAGAGTACCCGGGGAAAACCCACGTGGTCGGACAGCTAGCCCCTAGTAACCTAGCCAATCAAAATGCTTCAAATATTAACTCCTTGTAAACTAGTCAATCAAAGTGCTTCAAATATCTATACCCACATGTGGGAAGCATATATGTCAGTGGTAATCTATAGTAGTTACCTCTGGTTGTTTCTCACCCAAATCCATCAATAAAACAGACTGTAAGGGTCCAACTACCGCATAATTTGGGTCTTCATCAAGAGCTTTCATGAAGACTTCAAAATCTTCCTGAGAGATACCATCACCAGCTTTGTATGGTTTTGAAATAGCATCTGTAAAATAGAATCGCCTAAGCAATCAAATCTCTGTAACAACTAGCTTTGGTCAGCCACCAAGTCTAAAAGGTTTTCACTGTAGTTTTTCAAATCAAATTTTTAACTCAATTCCAAACAAATTTTCAGTCTTAAACAGAATCATCTACTGATCATTCCTACAAAACTTATTCAATATCATTCAAATACCATTTGAGTTATTTGTTCATAGTATTAGTGACCATCTTGAATTTCATTTCCACTTCAAACACAATAGAAATTGATCAACACTGATAGATCACATGAAATTTCATCAAAACAATGCATGGATGGAGCCTATAGCAAAACTCACATAAACCTTCAGTCCAGATGTGCTAAAAACTTACTCAGAGCTTCAACAGAATGTTCATTCTTATACCATTCTATCAAAGGTTTCAAATGGGAGCTGATCACATCAGGTGTTTGGTTACTAGCCAACACCATGACATCGCGAGCAGCTTCCTGAAGATCGTCCTCATCATGGTCTAACTGTTTTATGACAGCGGGCATCAGTGGTACCAAGGCCCTTGCGTAATTGTCACAGGTGATATGCTGAAATATTAGTGCATTGCATTAGATGATTGTCAAATACCTTATTTTAAAAAACAAATAAACAAACAAACAAAAGAAAAAACTTGAACAAAAATAAAAACAAAGTACTAATTACAGATACTTGTATGTAAGGATACTATCAAAGATAGTATCACCACACTAAGGTTTTAAAAACCTTTAACACATTCATCTAAATTTTTCAGCAAAGTTGACGAAATATAACTTATTTGTTTCAAATTGCAGTCATTAAATCATTTACCCCGCAATAGCACTTACCCTAAAATATTTCAACTTACCCCAAAATAGTTCCATTTACCCAAAAATAGTTCCAATGATCCCAAAACAGTTCCAATGACCACAAAACAGTTCCACGTATGTTAAAATTGACCCCAAAATAGTTCCACTTACCCAAAAATAGTTCCACTTACCCCAAAATATTTCCACTTACCACAAAATAGTTCCACTTACCACAAAATGAAGTACAGTGTAATTCAATTTATTACAATTCCATCTTAACATTTATGAAATATAATAATTTCCGTCCAATTACACCCTGAAATTCTATAACTTTATTAGTAATTAAATAATTAAAGCAAATTATGTCTTTTGTATGATATTATATTGAGCTGATTTAAAAAAAATTGTAACCAGCCTGGCCAGTAAATATAGTTTAGATGTTCTTTCAACCAGGATGGCTAGTTTTTACTCTATTTTCTACCATTGTAATACTGGTTTGTCCAGGCCAATACATCCAGGTCTATTGTTCTTGTATTACACTCCTACCCATGCAACACAGGAAATATAGAAATGTGAGATGTCTCTTCCCAACTGATGTCATTGCCTGACAAAATGTATGCAAACATTTGTGCAAATACTTATTTGCAGTGACTGCCAAATCTAGGTACAGATAATTCATTTTCTATGTCAGTTTGTTGATAAATTGCACAATAAAAAGCATGACTTTTGTGTAATATGACGTCTGAAGCTATTATTTCCAAATTTTTAGAATGAGAAACGAGAGAAAAATTCTGTTTTATACATCAGGGTAAAGGATTGGATATTTCACCATTGAGGTCAAAAGATGTGGCAGACTCTTGAGTTCTATGCTATTTGGGACCCCTCTGATTGAATATCCCTTTCCTACACCCCAACATAGATAGAGTCTTATAGAATACTTCACCTACTTTGCTCACAAACATTAACAAATGGGCTGATGCAGCAAGGCCATAGATGGTGATAGAACCATGTACTACTTCCATGTACTCAAGACCATCTGTTTCCATGGCATACAGAATTATCTTCACCAGAGTGTCATTCACATCATCAGGCATGTCACTTCCTGAGCTGCAAATTAAATCAAAACATTAGATATTGTCTCAGTTCATATTAATAAACTCCCCATAATTAACTTATTTTCTGGAACTTAAAAAACAGATGGAACTATCAATCATCCATTGGAAAAAATTCCAGTCAAAAGGGTTAATGTTTTTACTTCACCTGTAGGCTGAGATAACACCATCTAGTATGGCCTGACCACAGCTTCTGGAATCAATACTGTCCCACGGATAGTCTGGATCCAAATACAGCACGGAAAATCTTTTGATAAGGTCAGGAATTATTTCAAGGTTGTTCTGAAAATAAATTTTTTCAACAAATAAATGATATATACTCACACGTCAGCTTCTTGGAGCTATTTTCTATTTAAAGTTAACAGAATACCCTTTTGAAGTTGTGGCAATCCTGTACAAAATTTTCAAATGGATGATGCCTGTAATGAAGGCTGCACTGAAGCAAAATTCGCCTGAATACTGAGAAATGCTGCAGGTACTGGGCAGGATGTGCCACGTAGCTAGAATTTTCTGCCCGGTGCCACCACCTCACTGAGACGTCATTCTTTTAGTGGAGTGGGGTGGGGGTAGGGTAGGTTTGTGTAAGCTTATTACAGGATGACATGCTTATTATCATACGCTGGCTTATTGTCAGGTTAATAAAAGGTGTATCATTAATATCACAAGTTATAATTGATTTAAAGCCTGTAGCTGAATGTTTGGTCAGTTCTGGAAGGGATTTCACATAATCAGTCAGATCTTTATTGGTAACAATACCTCTAATGAAAGTTGATCCGCAAATCGCTCTGTGAATTCGTTGAGTTCTTCTGAACGTTTTTCCATCATTGAAATGATAAAAGTTGCTACACTTCCCATAACTTTGTCTGCAACTTTAACCATTCTAGAAAAATAAACAAAAATTATTTTGAATATCACAAAACTAGATTATGAAATAAAAAATGCTTAAGGTAGATATTTTTCCAACTTCTTCTATCATAGTATATGTTTTGCTATCGAATTCAGAAAAAGAACGTAGTAAATGAAGTACCATACACACACGTACAGTAAAAAGTTCTTTTAAAAAGAATTCTATGACATTTACAAAAATTCAATTGTTACGATCTTAATTGTTATGTATGTTTGGCAAAACAGTCATGTTACTAAAACCAAGCTTATACCATCTTCTTGTTTCTTTACTTTTAAATTCTGTTTTTTGTTGCTACATAATTTAGTCCAACCTCTTAATCATATTCAAGGCAGAATTTTTAACAGTAGTTTGATCAATTTCATAGATTTCTGAATTTACTGACGCTTCAACGAATGCGAGTGTCTCAAATAATAGCTCCGAAAAACTATCAGTAATTATTCTATCAATATCAATACTACTCATTCTGAGTCTTTTTCAAGTCTATTAACACAAGATTTGTGAACTGGAGTTTTAAGGTTTTTTTAACGAACAATAAATTATAGCAACAACCCAGTGATCTTCTGATTAGTGATGGAGATAGTAAAATCCCTGTCAAACAGGGTGGTCAGGTGGCGTAGTAGTGACACACACCCCTTTCACCAAGGCGTCTGGGGTTTGATTCCCAGAAAGAACGTGAAATGGTATGGAGTCCCTAGCACCACCATGTGGGAGTTCCACGGGCACTCCAGTTTCCTCCAAAAGTAAGACCCTCATCTGCTTAAATTAGGGGCCAACAAGATTGATTAATAAAATTGGGAAAAACTTGTTTGGCAAATTGTTGTAAAATAGATCAACTCTAATATCTACATTGTCAAATGTGTTCACATACATTTTACAGACCTCTCATTAACAAACAGATCCAGTGTTCTAATTTTACAACCAGATCAGTGACCATTGCTCTAAGTATTAAACATACTTCAGCTGTTCTAAAAGCTTTTTGACGCCATCTCCATATTCATGCAAGAGTCCAGTGTCATCTCTGTCTCCAGAGGTTGGGAAGTCTACCTTGCCGATTATTTCTATCATTTCCGATGCTTCCTTGTAATTGCTCTAGAAAAAGATGAAAGCCATACAAACATAACACTATAATATAATAATATAATATAATATAATTACTATAATAGTACATTTCTTGCACCAATATACTAATTCTCGTTACGACTGAAATCGTAACAATCCAGTTATATGTATGAGCTTTCCAAGGTCATATTTCGTATTGTACAATAAAAAATCCATCAAGGTCCTGGGGATTTTGAGTACATCATTGAATTTGATTGATAATTTGCTTAGAAATACATAATAGTATACATTGAAGGTTGGAAACTAAACTATGCATGAGTAGAATTGATTTATCATAGTGTCCTTTGAGTAATGTAGATGTATTACTTGGCTAAACTTAATAATTGAAATATCAAACTTTCAAACTAAATATGAATTAACTTTAATCAGAACAGAAATGTGTGCCATTTTACATTGTTACCAAAACGTTCGACTATAGATATATTATAATTGTCATACTTTCCACGTAAAAATTTTCTTGAATTTCTCTTCCCCTAAGATTCTGTTTGCTGAATTTGCACCATCCTTTTGTCCACATCTGAAGAGGCCTTTCAGTATTGGGAACCACAACACGTTGGATTCCTTCCTGCGAAATCAGAATCATCACATCATTATCATCTTCGTTTAAATATTATCTTCCAACCTACCGAAGTAAAAACTATTCCTTGTGAAAGTGATTTCAACATGAATTTTCTGTGCATGTTTTAAACCATAATAATAACTGGTATATGTAGCTTTAATTATAGTTTTAAATTATTGAGTTATCCATCAATGTTTTCATAATTTCATGTACATACAAAGTCAATACAAACTGAAAGTGAAAATAACTTTAAAGCTAAATAAAATCAGTTCCTCTCCTAAAACATTTGATGCCTTTTTCTGTAATTGAAAGGCTGCAAAGCTCTGACTATAGTGTAGCTAATTATTGACTCACATTTGATAGTGTAGCTAATTATTGACTCACATTTGATAGTGTAGCTAATTATTGACTCACATTTGATAGCGTAGCTAATTATTGACTCACATTTGATAGTGTATCTAATTATTGACTTACATCAGATAGTGTAGCTAATTATTGACTCACATTTGATAGTGTAGCTAATTATTGACTCACATTTGATAGTGTAGCTAATTATTGACTCACATTTGATAGCGTAGCTAATTATTGACTCACATTTGATAGTGTAGCTAATTATTGACTCACATTTGATAGTGTAGCTAATTATTGACTCACATTTGATAGCGTAGCTAATTATTGACTCACATTTGATAGTGTATCTAATTATTGACTTACATCAGATAGTGTAGCTAATTATTGACTCACATTTGATAGTGTAGCTAATTATTGACTCACATTTGATAGTGTAGCTAATTATTGACTCACATTTGATAGCGTAGCTAATTATTGACTCACATTTGATAGTGTAGCTAATTATTGACTCACATTTGATAGTGTAGCTAATCGTTGACTCACATTTGATAGTGTAGCTAATTATTGACTCACATTTGATAGTGTAGCTAATTATTGACTCACATTTGATAGTGTAGCTAATTATTGACTCACATTTGATAGTGTAGCTAATCATTGACTCACATTTGATAGTGTAGCTAATTATTGACTCACATTTGATAGTGTAGCTTATTATTGACTCACATTTGATAGTGTAGCTAATTATTGACTCACATTTGATAGTGTAGCTAATTGTTGACTCACATTTGATAGTGTAACTAATTATTGACTCACATTTGATAGTGTAGATAATTGTTGACTCACATTTGATAAGAAACAAGGGTTTTATAACAGGTATAGGCTTTAATGTTACTTAAAACCAAAATGTCAGTTATCATCTACTCAATCTATTTAGGTGATCATAACACATTGTACTTTCAAGCCCTTTTAATATCATTTAGTCGTCCAGTGTGACGTTGGACACTTTAATCAAGACAGAGGAATTAATGTCTGATCAGAGGTAGAATTTGAAATTATTGTACTAACATGTGATGTGTGTTTATGGTATTGTAGAAGTAATAAACAACCATTTAGAGATGTACTGACTGATATCAGTATAACTCTGTACTTTGTAAAAATCGGCACAATTGATGGTTCAACTACTGATTAAGATATCATAACTTACTTCACTGTACACATGTCCCGTACTGTGTCCACCATCCGATAGACCCAGGTCTCTAAAGCTTTCACTAACGGAGCCTTTAAAAGTGTCTCTCCAAACACTGGCGCCCATTTGTCAACAAGTTGGGGATGTTCCTGGAATTTTTTATCAATAATGTTTAAATAGAACAACTTGACACTTCTGTAAAATGTATGCTTGTTTCCCTTTTGGTCAGTAAAGAAAATATTTTGGTATTAAATATCTATGTATTGAGGAATTTCATTTGTCTCAACAGCTTGGTTCTAGACCAAAATTGGGTGGACTGCAAATTTTCCCATTTTTGTGGAACAAACAATCAAATCATACTCATACAGGTATTTTGTATTGTAAATAGTTTTCAGATGTTGCAAAATTTGACAGAAGATGGCAAATGACTGGAAACAATGTGTTAATAAAAAAGATTTTCTTTCACATGCCATCAGAAGAACAGCAATTTTGTTAATTTTCTGTTTCAAAATAATACAAACCTTTAAAGTGTTGTCAGGCATTTCATCAAAAAAATACCTGAACGGCTTCATTGTCTGAGGAAATTCAGCACATTTCTTTGCAAAGGCCAAAGTCTTCATAAAATTTAGAACACTTTCCCAAATATGTTCAGAATTCTTTGGATTTTTACTACAAAATAAATCAATTTAAAACTTATAACATGGTACTATTTGAATTATAGAGCAAATAAAAAAAACCAAGTAAATCTCAATACGGCTTTCATCTTAGCATGACACTGTGTTTATACTATTACAAGTTATATAAATCTTGTTCACCAGTAAGTCGACAACATTAACATCTTTTAAACTAATGTACTACTGATCTTCATTCCTGTAAGTAACAGGCAGGAGCTCTCAATATTGCTGTATTAAGAGAATATATTTACATTTCTAGTGTGTATTCTCTATTTGGCTTTATTGATAAAATCAATATTTACACTTATGTAAACGTCAAGTCTGGCACAAAGGAAGCCAAACTGCTGTAAACTTAAAGTAAAAGTTGTGCAAATCTGCTATTGTGTTAACTTTTTTAAATTTTCAAATTTTGTGAATTTATTTAGTACACACTATAAAACTCAAAGCAATATGTGAATGGAGATATAGATATTTAAAATATCTCGTAAAAATGTAATAAAAAGATGTTGTTTTGTGACACTACTTTCTTCCCACGAAATGAGAATCAGCTGTTTTGCTATTCCATCAGTTGTCGGGCTGTGCTGTCAGTGCATATAACATCCAATGAATGACGATTATTGTTGTTTACGGATCATAAATAATGAAAATGCTTTCTAAGTGTAAATATAAGAAACAATTTATCATTTTTTGTTGTTAACTGATGTGTAACTGCAATTTTTATCAGATATTTCAACATGACAAATTTAAAAATTTTTAATATCTGTAAAAAATGCAATTCACTCACCAATAAATAACAAAATATGAAATTGTTTCTTAAATAAGTTATTGTCTCATGTGTGTTAACACTGTTTGATATATACTTCATTAATTACCTAATACTGTGAAGATGTTGAAAATGAGTTTTATGGTGTCTATGATGGTATTTATACCTAATACTGTTAAGTATGACTTTGATGGTGTCTATACTTACCTAATACTGTTAAGTATGTACTCAATCGTCTGTTGTGCTTGTTCTACTTGTGTCTCATTCCTGCCATATCTTTCATCGCCAATGACATCTTGTATTTGCACCATGTGTTTGCGTATAATTTCTTTATTCTTTAGATTCTTGAAATAGAAAAGTTTTATGTTTATATATGAACTGAATGAAATTACAATTTTTGAATATGAATCATATAATTTCCAGATATCTTAATACTGGATGCAGGGATGGATTATGAGCACTCCAAATATGCTATACTTTTAACAATTACATCAAACCCTATCAGTACATTATCAGTCTAACCATCCAAGAAATTACATATTCTGGTAATGTCATATCGTATACAGACTATTGTGAAAACCCTATTTGCACCATGGCAGATTAATAAGATAGAAATCCAGAATTTTCTGAAACTAATGTTTATATGGTGTATGTTGTATGAAAACACTTATTCTTTTAAATTTCTTGATTTTTAATTTGTTCCTCTTTCTCCCGATTTTTTTCGTTTGTATGTATGTACCAGCCACATCAGTCCATAAGCCACACACCCGACCCACAAGAAAAAATTTCGCCACTTATAATCCAAACAAGACAGTAAATGTATTTTGTGCATTCTACACATGATATAAACCTAATATGTAATCAATGCCTTCTAATAATTTGTCTGCTCTATAACACTGTCCCTAGAGAGATTACAAAGTTGGGTTTATCTTAATTAGTAAGATATAGAAATAAAGCGAGGTACAATACATCAAAAGTTTTAAAAATTCTTTTTTTTTACAGACTATAATTATCTTACCATATATGGATTCCTGTCAGAGCTCTCTCGATAGAATGACTCAATTTTCCTCATTACATTGTGTAGGGGTGAGACATATTCAACAGGCATGTCCAACATCTTGAGGAAGTAGAATATGTATAGGTCCAGTATCTGTTCCTGAAAGTCAGCTTCATGAATATTTTTACTTTCACTAAAAAACAAAGAAAAAGCATCCCTAGTTGCTAACAAACATTTAAATACATACAGGTACCTGTGTGTAGTAAATTTTCTGCTTAAATACAACTGAGAAATATCAATTGCATGTCTTTTTTAGTTGTTCTGTTAACCACCTAAATATTTGGAACAAATTATAAAGTATCTGCTTTCAATTAGTCACATGATATAGAATTCTATCCCTGCAATATTATATCTAATTGTTAATGCCTAGAACTATATATGATAAAGTCTTTAAAAGGCAATTTATAAAATCAGTTCATGATAGATAAGAAAATTTTTATGCATTGATGAATTATCTATATCTAATTTTAATTAATGGTTTACAAGGTATTCTGAAACACATACATTTGAGATCAATTATCAACCATAATTTCAAACTATATTTATAAATTTCTTTCATTTCAATTTCAGAACTTTAATTATAAGATGTAATGTACAATCTTCACCTGAGGTCAAAGTTTGTGAACCGTTAACTCAGTCACATTTCAAAAACAATAGGGTTGTCATTTCAGCTTTTATTTGATAAGAAAATATATTAATACAGCATTATACCTCATGGCATCTAAAACTCTACATATGCAGTTATCCCAAGCAGTGCACTGGTCTGATAGAGACAATGCTGGTTCCTCTGATGTGTGTGTGAATTCCTTCAGAGCTGAGATTAACTTTGTTAACTCCTTCCCTTTCAATGCCTATAATGTACAGTTATTATTTAAATTATGATGTTTGTAACTGAACACACAGAAAGTCACCTTTAAAACAGTCAAAAGTTACAAATTGTGTTAAGACATTCAGGATATTTATAAGCGAGTCTCCAATTGAATTACATATATCTTGTATATATACCTTTTAAAGTTCTTATAACACATTAGGAATATCAATTATATTATTTCACAGGTGCGAAATGCCAGTAAAAAATAAGGATTCATTTCTTTCATAAAATATGTGAAAAATGTCCTAGGATTTTAAACAACTTTGACATTGCTTAACCTTAATATTCTTTAATGTGAATGACATTTACGCCTGAATTTTAACAAAACAGCACATTTTGAGACAGCTGTTATACATATTAATTGTACCAGTTGTGCTGTCTTTTCTGCTAAGAATTCCATGCAATTACTGATTTCAAAATGGGAATTCAAAAGAAGTCTGATTTACATGGTGTATGCAGTATAGGTATGATAAAAAAATTTCATAGCACTCTCTCTAAAATTTGAAACAGGTAATCACATGTTTCGAATTTTAGAGAGAGTGCTATGAAATTTTTTTTTAAAAACAGCTGACTGAACAAGATAACCTACCACAGTGATATTTTACATACTTTCTCTAAATATTTACATACTTCTAAAAAGCCCTCCATGCCTTGGATATCCATAACATCCGGTATGATAACTGTGTGTGTGGAGCCAGGTCCTGTACGTAAACAAGCCAACAGGAAATCAAACAACAGCTGTTGACATTCTTCTTTGGTTGCTCTGTCATTGTCTACACAATCGCTGAAAAAGAAGAATGAATTAAGCATTAGTTTTAAATAATGGAACGGCGGTATATTAAGACTTTACAATTTTCAGTACAGGGCTCTCACACCCCATTTTGGGACTGGGGCCCGGGGCCCTTAGAATTGGGAAAAATAGTGGCGTTTTCTTTAGAATTGGAAAAACTTGGGGTCTAAATTGGGAAAAAAAGATACTGTTTTGCATTGGGAATTCGGCCCCAAATCTGGCAGATCGAGAGCCCTGCAGCATCAAATAAATTTGATAATTTCAGTTAACACTAAGTGTTGAAAACTCTAACAAATCAAAACCTGTATAAAAACAATCATAAGTCAGTAAAACTGTTACGTAATTTGAATACTGATGATAACAGAAAGTTAATATTCCATCAATATAATTTTCAAATGTATTTATTCTGTGGAAGTCTAAAGAGCCAAAAATATCCATGATTCAAAAGGAATGAAAACTATCACATATCACAGGGCATTTGATGATAATACTATATTCAACAGACACATACATGGGTGGGTTTATTAGTGGTCATAGGCATATTGTTGGATACACAAAATATTCATATGAACAGCATAGCTCACATATTGCCAAATAATGACATAAATTCAACTATTTCTGACTGCAGGACTTTTTTCTACTCCTTTTGGAAAGGGTATTTTTTTCACATTTTGACAAAAAAATTAATCAGTAAAGATGGAAATTTAAAAAATTGAACTATATCACTTATATAATTTGGCCATATGATGAAATAAATCCAATTGGGATAGGGGTCCTGGCCCCTCATTCAGCCCCACAGTCCGTGGGGCAGAAAAAGCCCTGGACTCATGTATGGTGATGATTAAATTAATCTAAGTTAAGGTTTATGTGTTTGGATCCCCAATAATTTCATTCCAACACTACCAGGTACGTACAGCAAAATTTTAACCTGACGATGCTATTACTGATGCAATTCTTATATGTTAAAGTCCCATATTCTTCAAATAGACCAAGGTTTAAATACTTGTGTTTCCTGAGCAACTAATAAAACTTAGTTTTCTGCTGTTTTCAATGTTTGCAGATGTAATAAAGTTTTCTAACCTATAAGTTTCTGACCTTGGACACACTAAGAGATGAAGTGTACTAACCATGGAAAGGGCAGTTGCAAGCTAATAGTTTGGAATGATTCCAGCGTCTAGTGCTAATTTCTGTTTGTGAGGGTAGAGGTTCCTTCACAAGGAGAAACTTATATAGGTACCTATACACATCCATCGGTGATGCTAGACAGCAATTAGTGACACCCAGCTATCTACAGGAGTCTGAAGCATTTCTGATAAAAGTACATGTAAGGTCAGGGTCTCGAAAATTGTTTTTTAACCTGATTTCATCTTTTGATCAACTCCACGGCCACCAGGCAGACAACTCCCAGTACAATTGTTGAAGCAAAAATATCAATACACCAATACCTGCTTATAGCAGTCCTTGTAAGTGTTGTACACCTGACTGAATGAGTAAGTGATGTTCTCATAGATGTACAGGTAACAAGAAAAGACATCTATGTACTGTATGTGCGTTATATTTCTCTATATTTGGTTTACAGACAACACTAAAATTTCATAAAAGAAAAACAAATTACTATTTTCCTCTAAAATAAACTCATCAATATTTTCAAACCACAAAAAGATAATTTTCAACAACCAGAAGAATGAAAGATACTCACTCAACTACATATTTGATGACTTCGACGGAGTCAGAAGCCATTTCACAGCCTGGAGATCCCTTTACAGGAAATCCTTTCACACAGATTTTCTCTTGTAGGACAGACATACATCTTTGAAGATTTTTCAAAATCTTCAAAATCTCCACGTTTGTCCACAAGTATCTCTTGTAAATCATTCTTAGTATCTTCTGTACCATGAACATAATCAAACTTTTTGAATACTGCTTCAAGTTCCATTTTTTATTCTAAAATGAAAGTAAAATAATTGAAAATAACAATAATAATTTAATGCCACATACCGTGAGTTTATGATAGTTTATGTATATAAGATTTTATCTGCTTGAATTAAAAAAAAAAATTCATCCCTAAAGTTCAAATTTGTAAGAAGAGTTAAGTATTATACAGTATGATATGTGTAGACAAATTAAGATTATAAAAACGCAAATGTATAAGACATGATGTAATTAAATGACTATTACACATTTGAAAACATACATGGAATCAGTATGTTATAAAGACAATCATACTCCAGGGGTATCAACTACTTTCTCTTTCTGTACCCCTGGAACATAAAGTTAATTGCACAAAATTAACAAACTGTATTTCTAAGGGTTTTCTTGATACATGTAGATAATATATATATCTCAAGACTTATACAAATCCCAAGTCAAAGTGGAAGGCAGGTCCCTAGCTTATAGTTTCGCCTTTTAAGGAGTTTCTAGCTGCTTCTATCTGAAGGTTAATATGCAAATGAGAAAACTGTTCTACTTTACCAAAGCAGGTTTTAGTAGTTTTCATTACAAGTCCTTATCTGCTTCCCTCTTTAAGCATTCATTAGCTGTTTTAAAGGCCGAATTATTTAAATGAGTTTGCAGTAAATTGCTAAGGACCTGGTTAACAGACTGCTTATATGCAAATTAGAACCTCAATGAACTGCCAGAGAACTAGGCCACAAAACAGCCTATATGTAAATGGGTCCTACCATATATGGAACTAGTGAACAGCCGAGGATTGGTACAAGCTGTTAGAAAATGCCAACAATTCAGATTTGTTATTCCAAATATAGTAACAAATGACTGCTTAAAATGCTAAAAATTGCTTTGAGCAGTGAATATAGTATTTTCCATACAATACTTCTGATTTCACATACTTTTTGATTGCATTAAATGAGGTTTAATCATGTTTGGAATACATTTCACATGTTAATAAGTTAACAAGTTTGTTCCATTAACACTTGATTCCGATTGTGTCTTTTGATTTTAAAACTGATCTAAAGTAACTAGACTTTAATAAATATTTGTAACTTAAGGGTTTTGTCAGGTATTCCCAAGTGCAAATGTAGTTTATTGCCAGTTAATGAATTACTGACTTATAATCCATAGACAGTTGTTCAGTTATAAAACACATCATCCTTTTCAGAGGATTTCATGCAATTCATCATTTCATGGCAAAATAAAGATTATCGATAATGCCTTACATTCAAAAACTCATGTCATGTCAGTGTATGTGGCTTATGACTTATGATTCTAAAATGAATTTTCAGCAAGATAAAGGAGGATAGTATTATAATTTGGTCATTCGGAGGAAAACTCATAAATATAGAGAGTTGGTGGGTGACTACACACATACTACCGGCGGTAACCAATGTAAACAACACACTTTTGCGGTAAAAAATAACTACCTGTGTGGGTAACTTTACAGTATTACTTGTATATGAAATAGCATCGGTATTTCTTCGTTAGTATATAAAATTTCGCACTGCGTGTTCAATGCGGCACTCAACTGATGGCATAATTCCGAGTCGTATACTTCAATTTTTCCATACCTGATTGTAAACACCAATAATTATTGTGTGCGTTCGTTTCGAGTATTATTCTGATTCGTCAATAGGGATTCAACAAAAAGCACAATGTGAAGATGATGGAACACTTTTCAATTGTTTGTCTTTTTTCGATCTGTTTTAAATTTCTTTGTCATGGAGTATGAAACTTATATGACATTATAAAAAATGTTTCAAATTTTATACTTTCTCATTCTAAACGAACGCGCCTACTTCAAATAAAACACTGCATTGATCACGACTGAAGCTTCAAACCGACTCCGATTTGGAGGTATTTTATGGAAAAACCACAGATTGCTCTTGCATTGCAAGAGGTTTCGTATTATGCGAACACTGCAAAAAATTGCAAATGTCATAAGCAACAAACTACCATTAAAATTTATTGACATGCAACTTTAGCATCGAGGTGCCACACGGGTAAGTGAAAGGTGAATATATAGGACATCATCACATTTCTTTCCCATTCTATTTAGCACCTCATGACTTAGAACACCTCGTAATGAACTGTTCCTCTGTATCTAGTGTAAACATTCCTTAACTGATTAGTTAGAATACTTAATTTTATCGTCTTCCTTGAATCTAATGAAAACAATTATTGATCTTTTGATCTTAAAATTACCTGAAATAAAAACAGCCTGCACGTAATGTAAAACAAACCACTTTGCACGTGATCATTAACCAATCAATGAATTAAAATTTTGGTTATAATCCTAGGCTGTTGTTAAGTCAGACGGCTGTAACATTGAAACTGGTTTTATTTATTAACGTTTAAAATTATCAGATTATAATTTCAACAAACACAACAATTTTAACGAAGAAAATGCACAGTACATGCATTACAGTTACATATAACATAAAACAGTTACTTATAATTAATCTACAATGCAATATTACGTATTGGACCAATAATCACCAGGGTAGAATGTGCATGTTCCCATGGTGCTTGCCAGGTGGGGAATGACGTGACTGGAATCCGAGGATAGGTGCTTTGTGACATGCACATGCCAAACTCTCACAGCCTGTGCTAATTTTGCGTGCTCTGGTGACGGAGAATTATGTACACCTGGTTACATGGTCATGAATTGAGAAGAAGACATAGATATATAAATCTAAAGGTGGGGTCACTATATATGGGAATTTAACATTAGCATCGGCCCTCACTTTGAATTTCAAAATATGATAACCTTAAACAGATATGGTATCAGAATCTTAAACAAGGAAAAGTTAGTCTCAGTATTGATTTCTTATAAAATGGGAGCTCCTTGACTAATACCTTGGTGGGTGTGCACATTGTACCAACCAACATGTTGATACCACATATCACACTATTTGAGGAGAAACGTTTCTTTTATGTTGAAAAATGCAGCCAAAAATCATATAAAAAGCCATTACTTTTGAGAAAAGTACTGTTTTTGACACTTCAATTTTCATACTTCTGAAACCAGTCTATTTTTCTACTTGCTTAAAAGTTGGCCACAGATGATATCTTTCAGAAGGAGGATTCTTGGAAAAAATGAAAACCAGTAAATTTGTCATTTTACACATTTACTTAAAAAAACCAAGAAACACTGATTCTTTTTCCATTTTCGTTAGATAGTGAAAGCTTATTAACCAAAAGTCTGTAGGTCTTGCTATTTGACAAGGTGGTTGTTCATGTCAATTTGTATCAGTTTTGTTAACATTGCTGAACTTGACCTCTGTTCAAGGTCACACAAATGAAATTTGTTAAAATAAAGACATTTTTGTGCAAATTTCACAGTTTGAATATTTAGTTAGCAGCTTTATATAAATCTTTTGATGAAGTTCAGTAAAGTGACCTTATTAGGTAGATTATGTACAGTAATAGTGATGGGTTTTGCCTTTGTCAGTTCTGATCCATAATTTGTGGCACTTTGAAAAGCTAATAAGAGATAGAACAGTTGTAGTTTGCAGCACATCACATTTCGTTTTAGTATAGCAGAACTGCTCAAGTGATTGCTTGTTTGAACTTGAGTGATGCATGGACTGGGTTAGTTTGATCTTGGTGCTGAACATGGCCCAAGAAATACAAAATGCACACAAAATGTGTACACATTCCAATGGTTCACTTGCCCGCTGGACAGACACAGTAGTAATCTTTGACAGGGTCATCTTGATTGTTTCTGTCTAAAGCAATCCAAACATTGTATTTTGACTGTGATTTGTGCCTTGAATGGATTTGGCCTCGGGGAAGATTTTCATCATGCTGATATACCCAAACTTCAAAGTCTCCAGCAGGAGTCAGATGCCCAGCAATATATCTGGGTGCTGCTTTCAACTGGTATGATCCGCAGGTTACTGTTTCTAAACATTTCATATTCAGTACTGGAAACTATTGAACAGGCATCAAGTTTCACCCAGTTGGCCTTGTTGTGTCTAGGTTCATCTGCAGTCTGTTCCCTTTGGTGTGGTAAAGGAAGTAGTTTGAGCTGAGTTGTTTTCTAAACAGTTCCCACTGTTCCAGTCGACCATGGTAGTTCTCCACAACTCCTCTTTGGCAGTATCATGCTGTGTCTGACCTGACAGAAGATAGGAAGGCATGTACACAGAAAACCCTGAACCTTGCAGCAGCTCCAACACATCCCTAAACCCCCGCAATCACATTGTCATCTTCACTGAGCCACATAGTCAGGTTCTCAACTGTTCCAAGAATTTTTGTCAAGATATTTGCATCATTTTCAATACCATAAAAAGGCCCAATAGTGTCTAGTACATAACCATCTGGAAAGACAATGTTCATGAATTTAACATAGTTGCGCTTCTTTTGCCCACAGTATGCAGATCTTTGAAGAGGGTGATCAGCACTTTTTTGGACATAAATATAGGTACCATCAATTATTATAGATACTTTGTCCCCATAGAAACAGCTGGTAAAGGCAGTGTTGTGGCACTTAGCATCCTGTGGTTAATGTGTCTTGGGCCAAGGAAACGGGGCACAATGTCTGGCTCAAGGCTTTTAAGACACTATAAAATGTGTGAGACACATATACTGTTTTTTTGTCAGACCACACAAGACACCATGTTGAGACCATGAAATATTGGTCTTCAGTTTAACCAAGAAAAGAAACAAAGCATGGAATGTAGATTTCCATTGATGTGTGAGGAGCAAATGCTATGGATTTGCTGCATTTGTCCAAGTGTGTAACTAGTCCATGCTTTGAATTCTTCATTTCTGAGATGGTCTACATCTATGCCTGTGTTGGTTGGAATACCAGCAAGAAAATGGTTTAGTTCAAGAAGGTCATTGATAACCTGATTAGCTCTTTCTTGAAAATGAAGAGCAAACAGCTCCCTTATTTGCAGATCTAGAGGTAAAGAAGGATTCAGAAAGTCACCAATTACATGGTCATTGCAAACACGAGCATCAGGGGGACACCATAGAAAATGGAAAAATATCAAGTTTGTCCTGGCACGCTGGGGTATACAGCATAGCCTAGTGCCCTCTTTTCCACATATGACACATCTTTTATGTGAATTGCCACCATAAAATAATTTCTCAGCAGAGATTAGTGGTAGTTGGTTGGATGACATGAAATCAGTGTAAGCATCATCTGTATCATTCGCCAGGTCATCTGAGGTGCTCATACCAGAAGGTTCATACAATTCAGACTGCAATGGCCTTTGCTTGAGGTACTTCTTGTAGCACTTTCCTCATAATATGCTTTCTTCTGTTATGCTAATGATCTCAGCAGTCAGCAGCTGGTGAGATCGGGCTCCTTGAGATAAATCTCAACCTGGTTTTGTAACCGCGACCTATGCACACGTCTGACATGATTATTAGTAAACTTGATCGGAGATTTGCAACGATACAAAAACGAACTTGACAAACTTTGATCTATTCTTTATTTTGTGAAAATTTTGCATTTTTTTTTTTTTACTAATTACTAATTTCCATTTCATTGGTTGAAATTCTTTGATAAGCATCATTCAGGACTGAAGGGGTAGTTTAGGGGACTTGTTTAATGGGTCCCTCTACAACATTAATACAAACAGGTAATTATTTGTATTGATTTCTAGCTTTTCTTTCACTTAATAAAAAAACAAAACACAACACACATAGTATTGTAGGGATATATACAATCTGTTTTTCATTTGGACACACTTGAGAGAGGAATATCCTTCACACTGACATTAAGCCAATACCATAAAAATACCAAACTAATTGCTTCTTAAGACTCTATCACTTTCATAAAAATTGTCACTTTATAAATGTCAAGGTTAAGGGAATTGCAACATAAATTGATGACATCAACAATGGGCTGAGAATAGAATTGTTTGCACCTGCAAAAAGGTATCGGTATCTAAGGAAACAACAAAATTATTGCAGTTTTCCTGACGAAGTCATCCCCAGGCTGAAGTGGTCAGCATATATAAATATGGTATTTGCCCTTCCCTGTCCGAAAGCCATTTACATGTTTGAGAATGTAAATGCCCTATTTACCAAAAAAAAAGTTAAATTGTTTGTTATTGTAGCTAGATTAATATACAATACACAGAAAAAAAGGGACCGAATTGGAGACACATATTGAATATTGCAACTGTATGTTGATAGAATTTTTCTTTCTTTGATTGCATGTGACATCTTTTCCAGATAAAAATGGATCTTGAAAAAGTATTAAAAAAGTATGATTTTGTCCGTGCTACTGAGGAAACATCAGATGAATTCAGAGACTTGCTTAATGAAAATCAAAGCGATTTTGAGGAGGCAGGTAATTTGAAAAGTCTTCAAAGATGTTTATCTGTCCTACAAGAGAAGCTTTGCATCAAAGGATACCCGGTAGATGGAACCCCAGGCTATGATATGGCATTTACCTCCATTGAAATCATTGGGGATGTTATGGAGTAAGTATATTTAGTAAAGAATTTCATTCATTCATGTATTGTATAGCACTGCTGATTTTCTCTGGGTGTTATAGGGTTTATCAACTAGTAATACATCAATGGAACTAAAAAAAATTAATTAAAGTGATGGACTTTGTTGCTTCCTGGCGGTCATTCCATCAGAATTTTTTGTTCATGTAGACTTTGATAGATATAGATACTAGTCCTGAACTGAAAACTTGCACATCAATATAAAATGTATATAGAATTACGTTTATTTATAATAAGTTGTATAATGGGAAGGTTTTGTCAATCCAGATCCAAAAATTTTACCTTTGAACTTACGAATTTTAATGGGGGGGGGGGGGGGAAATGCTGCAGAAACCAGTTAATCTCTGTAACACTAACATGTGTAAGACCATATCTCCTTCACGTCCAGGATAAGAGGTCCTAGGAATTGATCCTTCAGAGAAAAATTCTTCCAGAAGTGAAAGGCATGGCGCATAGGTGCTCTGCTTTTTGCCAGTATCTAGTGTATATATAACATAAAAATTATGACCGCATTTTTGTTTTTCATTAATTTGTTCAATCTATTTTTAGTTTTTATATTCTGGTGTATAACAATGTATAATTCAACTGGTCCATTTGATATTGCAAAGAGAAATAAGAAAATAAAAATCATCATCATTATTCTCGTTGTTGCGATTGTCATCATCACCACCACCATTACCAAACATATTCATTATCATAATGATAAACCCTCTCTTTACAACTGCCTGAAGTAAGTACATTTTTGTACGTAAATAAACATACAAACACTATTTAACCCTTTTTTCATTTTTTGCAGTGAATGTGTGGATAATGATAGAGCAAGTGAGAAAGATTGTCAGAAAATGCTGTTTGAATTCCTGTTGGCATGTATATGTGTCGGATCAGGATCCACTGTCATGGAAATAATATCAAAAGTCCTAGGAATTCAAGACCTTAAAAACTATATACAGGTATGATTATAATAAGATCTTAACCATATTCTGTTTCGTTTTATAATTATTCAATAAAAGCATTTTTTATCTCAGCTTTATACATTGTGCTGAAAACTAGAAAGGTTTCATTTCATGATTTGTAATTTGTGAATAGTTAAGTTGCAATGAAATAAAAAAATTTAATTGGTAAAACCTGAACAAATTATAATTATTCTTTAAAAGTTACACATACATTGATGACACTTTGTAAAGCAACATCACCAGTTCTTTTATGTTTCATCACCAGTTCTTTTATGTTTCATCACCAGTTCTTTTGTCTTTCATCACCAGTTCTTTTGTCTTTCATCACCAGTTCTTTTATGTTTCATCACCAGTTCTTTTATGTTTCATCACCAGTTCTTTTGTCTTCCATCACCAGTTCTTTTGTCTTTCATCACCAGTTCTTTTGTCTTCCATCACCAGTTCTTTTATGTTTCATCACCAGTTCTTTTTCTTTCATCACCAGTTCTTTTGTCTTTCATCACCAGTTCTTTTATGTTTCATCACCAGTTCTTTTATGTTTCATCACCAGTTCTTTTGTCTTCCATCACCAGTTCTTTTGTCTTTCATCACCAGTTCTTTTGTCTTCCATCACCAGTTCTTTTATGTTTCATCACCAGTTCTTTTGCCTTTCATCACCAGTTCTTTTGTCTTTCATCACCAGTTCTTTTATGTTTCATCACCTGTTCCCTTGTCTTTCATTACCTGTTCATCACCAGTTCTTTTGTCTTTCATCACCAGTTTGATTGTCTTTATCATCAGTTCATGAATTTGTCTTTCATCACCAGTTCTTTTGTCTTTCATCACTCTTTCATCACCAGTTTGATTGTCTTTATCATCAGTTCTTGAATTTGTCTTTCATCACCAGTTCTTTTGTCTTTCATTACCTGTTCTTTTGTCTTTCATCACCAGTTCTCTTATCTTTCATCACTAGTTTGATTGTCTTTATCATCAGTTCTTGAATTTGTCTTTCATCACCAGTTCTTTTGTCTTTCATTACCTGTTCTTTTGTCTTTCATTACCTGATCTTTTGTCTTTCATCACCAGTTCTTTTGTCTTTCATCACCAGTTCTTTTGTCTTTCATCACCAGTTCTTTTGTCTATCATTACCTGTTCTTTTTTCTTTCATCACCAGTTCTCTTATCTTTCATCGCCAGTTTGATTGTCTTTATCATCAGTTCTTGAATTTGTCTTTCATCTCTTCATGAGCCTACATTATATATATTAATCTTTTATAGGAAATGAAAGAGACTGAGTTGGTAAAGATATTCTCTGCACTGAAGAAAGTTACGCACACATCAGAAGAGCCCAAGGTGTCCATAGTAGACCAGGCTAGTGCCTGGGATGACTGCGTCAGTGGAGTGATTTTAGACCTCTTGAGGTATAGTGTAATAATAAAAAAAGATATTTTGGAGGGTTCATGTTGTGTTTAGTTCAAATGTATGAGGTGACATTCCACATTTTTCCATATGAAAGCATGCAGTGACATCTTAGTACACATAATGTACTTTCTAGTACACGTTTCAATGAAAATCTAAATTATTGGGTGGTGCAGTGGATAAAATACAATTCAAAAATTAAGAATGAGTTGAAGGTTCCCCAGTCTTACTTTAAAAGGTATTGAGCGATATTTACCTGCTTAACCAATTGGATTATGTCCTTGTGCTCCCGTTTCTTCCCAGAGTAAGACCCCAAGAACTCTTCCAAGAGAAAGAATAAGGTGATTAACAATGGTGGCTGAAAGCTTGTTCCACTCTATGCTGTAAATCACTTAGATTCAGCAGATGATTTGTTTTGCAAACTTACATCTCCAGACATAGAAATTACTTAAAATTTGTGAATGATGAGTCATTAAAGATTCAGAATCTTCAAGACTCTGATATTGGTTATCAAACCAACATGGATGCCATCCAGAGGTATTTAAGTACAAATAAAAGCAAGGGATTTGAATTTGCAGTTGGCTCTACTTTTGTATTGCAAAAATAAGTCTCGCACAAAATATAAGTGGCTTCAGTAAGGCATAAATAATGATTATAATTGTAGGTAATAATTTTGCAAAACAAACAAACATGAGTGTTTATTATTTTGTATTTTTAGTAATTGAATCATTTCATTTTGTTGATAGTGAAAACACAAACATTGCAACAGCAGAGTGCCAGGACCAGCTACTTGACCTGTATATGTTCTATTACCTGAGGATGACAGATATGCCTGTTGAATACGCGTTGTCCCTACATCGAGTTATGTCCAATATACAAGACTTTTACAGAGAGAAATATGGTTGCAATCCATTCAAGGTATGACTTCTACCAAAATTGAGGTTTGATTTTGACAGACTTATTACAGATAGGTTTTCAGGACTTTCGACAGATCTATAGACTTATCACAGACAGGTCTACAGGACTTTCGGCAGGATCTACAGACTTATCACAGATAGGTCTACAGGAGTTTGACAGGATCTACAGACTTATCACAGATAGGTCTACAGGAGTTTGACAGGATCTACAGACTTATCACAGATAGGTCCACAGACTTATCACAGACAGGTCTACAGGACTTTGACAGGATCTACAGACTTATCACAGATAGGTTTACAGGACTTTGACAGGATCCACAGACTTATCACAGATAGGTCTACAGGAGTTTGACAGGATCTACAGACTTATCACAGATAGGTCTACAGGACTTTCGACAGGATCTACAGACTTATCACAGATAGGTCTACAGGACTTTGACAGGATCTACAGACTTATCACAGATAGGTCTACAGGACTTTCGACAGGATCTACAGACTTATCACAGATAGGTCTACAGGACTTTCGACAGATCTATAGACTTATCACAGATAGGTCTACAGGACTTTCTACAGATCTGCAGACTTATCACAGATAGATCTACAGAACTTTCTACAGATCTACAGACTTATCACAGATAGGTCTACAGACTTATCACAGACAGGTCTACAGGACTTTGAAAGGATCTACAGACTTATCACAGATAGGTCTACAGGACTTTCGACAGGATCTACAGACTTATCACAGATAGGTTTACAGGACTTTGACAAGATCTACAGACTTATCACAGATAGGTCTACAGGACTTTTGACAGGATCTACAGACTTATCACAGATAGGTCTACAGGACTTTGACAAGATCTACAGACTTATCACAGATAGGTCTACAGGACTTTGAAAGGATCTACAGACTTATCACAGATAGGTCTACAGGACTTTCGACAGGATCTACAGACTTATCACAGATAGGTTTACAGGACTTTGACAAGATCTACAGACTTATCACAGATAGGTCTACAGGACTTTCGACAGGATCTACAGACTTATTACAGATAGGTCTACAGGACTTTGACAAGATCTACAGACTTATCACAGATAGGTCTACAGGACTTTGAAAGGATCTACAGACTTATCACAGATAGGTCTACAGGACTTTCGACAGGATCTACAGACTTATCACAGACAGGATCTACAGACTTATCACAGATAGGTCTACAGGACTTTGACAAGATCTACAGACTTATCACAGATAGGTCTACAGGACTTTGAAAGGATCTACAGACTTATCACAGATAGGTCTACAGGACTTTCGACAGGATCTACAGACTTATCACAGATAGGTTTACAGGACTTTGACAAGATCTACAGACTTATCACAGATAGGTCTACAGGACTTTCGACAGGATCTACAGACTTATCACAGATAGGTCTACAGGACTTTGACAAGATCTACAGACTTATCACAGATAGGTCTACAGGACTTTCTACAGATCTGCAGACTTATCACAGATAGGTCTACAGGACTTTCGAGAGGATCTACATAGTTACCACTGACAGGTCTTTGATAGAATTATCACACTGATGCCTACAGGACTTTTGACAGGATATACAAAATTATCACAATTATGTCTACAGATGTTTGACAAGACCTGTGTCGTTATCACAACTTATTTATTCTGCTGGACTTTGACAGAATCTAATGATCTATTATGACAATTCATTTATTTAAATGATCAAAGAATACATTTGAAAACCAATGCAACCTCCTCAAAGAATGATTTTTATACATGTATGCACAAGATAAGGTGCATCCATGTTTTAGACAACTTCTAGTTGTGTTAAATAAATGTAAACGGACAGATAATATATACATGTATACTGTACAGAATTTTAATGTAATCTTTTTATGTGATGCAAAGTGGTACATGTGTTCTTAATAAATCATTTCTTGCAATTAATCTCTTTATCTAGGCTATAAAAAATACAGATGGTATCCGCAAGCACATGGTGACAGTGCAAGGTGTGGTTTGTAATGAAAAATTTGGAAGAAGTGAGAAACAACTGGACATGACACAAAAGATCGTTGAGTTAATTCTCTACAGCATCAGGTAGGAGAATTACACAGAAATTTTTCCCTGTCATTTCTTATTGGCATTTAAAATTGTTGTTTTAAGTTTGAACACTGAAATATCATAAAATGATGCACCACTGTCTCTTTTCGCCGAGAATAAATAAAAGCACAATGTCCACTTACTTCATGTACTCATTGGATTTCATTTTGATCGTCAGTGAGGAAAAACAGGCCGAAAATCTGAATAATGTGTAATACATAAGTGCTGTATAAGTATATATATACAATGTAAGAATATACATGTAGTACAGAAATATATGAAATTTTACATGTTTTAATTATGAACTATTTCTTGTAACAGTTCCAGCGAAAAGTTAAAAGACTTGGAAAGTATTTGGGGAAGTGTTTTAGATTTTATGAAGACTATGGCCTTTTCAAAGAAATGTGCTGAACATCCTCAAGTATTGGAGCCTTTTGGACGGCATCTCTTTGATGAATTGCCAGAAGACTATGTAACGGTTTGCATAAGTTTTAATACTTCATGTTAATCTCTTTTTTCATATGACTTCTCAGGAAATATAATTATTTACCATCATCAGCAGCAAATGGTTCCGTACAAAACTATTTAGATATATTGGTCTTTGGCCTCAGGTAAATGCTGAGATGTAGGCTTTACTTCGGATACTTGTGTTTCTCAGAAAGCTGAAGTTGAGACCACCATGTGCTTCTGTGGTTGTGTCATAAGACAAGCCAATTATCCCAGATTTCTTTGGTTAGTGTGGGATGGACCTCCTGCATGTTGTTCAGTGTGGTCTCCAGCTTCTACAAGGAGTTCCTCCCTCCCCCCATAGACCCTTGATGTTCAAGGGTGATTAACACACCAAACAAATTGTGAGATAGATAATTAATGAAACATTGTTACTCATTGTTATGATGAAATTAATAATGTTCAAATAATTTTTAAAAGTTTTACAAATGTACATGGTATATTCTCTTAATCATTGTCTAGATGTTGCTGTCTCCAGAAGATTTGGAGCTTCGTAAATCATCTTCAATCCTACAAATTAAGATGAGAGTATCAAAGTTTTAACCAATAGTTGAATAATTGGAGTAATGACATATTTAACAAATAACTATTGATATTTCTTAAATTCTAGGATCACCCACAACTTATCGACGAATGGGCGTCTGTGTTTGGGGAGATTCTTCTGAAGGCTCCATCAGTGAATGCTTTACACACATGGGCCTATAGAATGGCAGACACAGCACAAGGACTAGCTGTAGTGAAGTAAGTCTATTCAATAAAAAAATTCCTTACAATTTCAAGAAATAGAATATTTTAAGCATTCAAGATGTCCATGTTTGGCCCTGCCATGAATTTGTTTCCTTTCAATGAACATACATATATCCACTGCTGTTTTCTTTGGGATTTGTAGAATTGATCTGGTGGAATGTTCCTAAATGTGATCTTTTTTTTTTTACTATTCTTCTTTAAAAATAAAATATGGTTTCTGGAGCATATCTTGATGTTAATACAGCAAATAATACAACTATTTATGTTTACCTGCCTTGTTGTTTACAGAATTTGCATGGCCCTTGTCTAAAGATGGTCTAAATATTATTTGCAACTGAGAAAAAATAATATATCTTTGTATGGCCCTTGCCTAGTCTACAACCTAAAGGGATGAAATTTTAGGGTTTATGTAATGCAGTAACAGTTTCAACACGACTATCACTGTCTGAACGAGATGAATTACCAATCCTAGCTTTCTGATTGGTTAAAAAATGCCAACATGCTTGTCATGCCATCTAGCATCAGCCGAATACTATAAATGATACTACCGTCTTTCAAGAAAGTATTCAGCATGCATAATGTTGTTGTGGGATAAGCAAATATTTATATCTAAAACATTTTCAAAACTGAAAGCTTAGAATCCAGGTGATTGTACAAATTGCTTAGATTTTGCAAATGCTTGATTTCATGAACTTGCCACTTCAGATATTTTCATGAGTACAACAGTTTTTGTGTCGCCTGCAGAGCTGGCGGACACTTAGGCATGTATGCTTCGTATGATGTATAAAACTTTGTGCATATCAATTTACAGACAGCTTCAGTATCTGGAAGACAGTGCTATTTATGTCTTTGGTAGAAGTGAACATCTCACTTTGTGGGATGAAAAAAAAATTGAAAAAAATATCAGTGGCTATCGCAAAAACTTATTTGATGTTTCAAAATTTTATGCATGCCTTCACAAGTATTTGAGGTGTAATATAATAGGTATAATAATGTGAGACAATACACAAAAACAAGGAAAATTTTCAGAACCTGTAACTTTTCAGGGATTAAGATATGTTTATAACCCACACGGCTCAACATGATACAATATGGCTTGACACCTTGACTGTTTCAACATCATGTTTGTATAAACATTTCGTGTTTGTACTTGATACTCAGTATTATAAACAATCTTTTGGATAGGTTTCAAGTGATACTGATTGTATGTTTTCTGGGTTTCTGTTTTCCAGGAAAGAATCAGCTGTGATTTGGTTTCCATTGGTGAAAGGCCTTCTCCGATGTGGTCATCAGCAAAGTTTAAATGTTGCAGAAAGAATCTTAGAAGGAGTAAAATTCAAGAAAATTTGGACTTGGAAGGTCAGATGATACTCTCAAGACTAAGCACTGGTTTTGTTTCATTTTTTTCTACTTTATTTTATTGATGGATTTTTGAATAAAATTTAATCTTTAGTTTGTAAATTATGACTTTTTACATAACAAATTTTAAAATGCAGACAATTTAGTTATAGTTTGATGTTCTCTAGTTCAGTTTTGATGTTTAATTATTTAGTATTATAACTATAATGAAAGCAGAAAGTTTCTAGCTTAGATTTATCAATGAAAATATGCTGATTGCAAATTGTTTCCTTTGTTTGAAAATTGAACCATCGTTCACACAAATGGTATATGACTCATGACCTTGATCATTGTCCTTGTGAGTCAGGGTAGTATGATGTGAGCCATTTCTGTGATAGTTGATACTGATCCTAGATAATTAGTTTAATTTAAAAAAAAAATATTGATGCCGTCAGCTTAATTGAAGACAAACATGGAACTACAGCCTGTATTTCTTTTGTCTTCTAGAAAAATTACAATCATGCTATGGAAATGATAGAAACGATAAGCAAAGTGGACTTTCCAACCTCTGGGAAAGACTCGGATGTCAAATTACTGCGAGCATATGGAGATATCATCAAATGTCTTCTCGAACAATTATCGTACGTTGGAAAGCAATCTTATTTCCACTTTTATTGATTGATAGAGTGGGCTTATAATCATCCATTGAAAAAGGATCTTCAGAAAATACTGTGTACAAAAATATTCATGATATGGTCTTCATTTATTATTTATTGTCAAGTGAATGAAAATACCTCTCTGTTTCCCCATTTTACGAAATACATTTTTAGTTTTAATTAACCTGTATACATTTACTGCTATGTAGATACATAAATCACATACGTCTTCAACAACTGAAATTGTCATTTTGTTTTGTAGACTTGTTAAAGTTGCAGAAAAAGCCATGGGTGTTGTGTCAGTTTTTGTTATAAACCTGATGGAAAAGCGATCAGAGACACTTAATGAGTTCACAGAAGGATTTGCGAGTAGTATATCATTGCAGGTATAAAGTTTTTTTTTTGTTTTTTTTTTTCCATACGTAAATCTCTGAATCTGTCAAGCTACTAACAAAACTGGGATATGTTTAGTATGACCTGCCTTTATATAAACACTATGACATAGGGATGTGAGCTAGTTTCAGTCTGCGTTTGTGTTATTTTAAGTTCAACAAATTTAACCAGTTTATGGTCACATCACTTATCAGAAACTGGTTAAAGTTATGTGCCTCTTATGATAAACATTATTTTAAATAATAAGCTCATGTATAGAGAAAGTCGATACAGTTTCAATTTCCTGACATTCCGTCAAGAATTCATTAAATTTTTTACATTTAATTGGAGTGAAGTGTATTTTCTAAAATGTTCTCATTCCAAAAATGTAAAAATTTAGAAAAGGATTTTTGTGCCAAAAATTCAACTGAAAGAGGATTTCATTCACAAAAACATGTTTCTCTATCACAATGAAAGATATTTCTCAATTTGTCCTTAGATGTAAACACAATTTATGATCTATAAACTTAATGCATTATGAGGTTACACCAGGAAACAAAACACAATACATGTATTAACATTTGAAATTGGTTTACCAGAATATTGAAAACAATGTCTGAAGTTGAAGATGGCAGTACACTTTGTTAACATTTCACAACCATGTATAGTAATGATCATATAATTTGAATTATTGTAAAACATTATTACGATTCGGGGTCCCTTAAAAAGCTAGGCTTACCATCTTTATGTGATTCTTTTCTCATCTTTTTCTTCAGAATAACCTGGAAGTTATTCCAGACTTAATCAAGAAATTTTCTGCGCTTATTATGGATGAAGACTACCCATGGGACCACAGTGATACACAGAGATGCGGTGAATCCATCTTGATAAATATCATTGATGCTTACAGGTGCATATCAAAAAAGGGGTTGGTCAATAATTGGTCATAACCTAAATATGTATGTATTCAACCCTCCCGCTAACCAGTGAATGTTATATTTTCTTTTACCTGCCTGGAATAATTTTGATGTTAGATAAACCATTATCAAAAAACTTGGCTTCAATATTAATTTCCATTGGCCAGTTCAGCTCCTTGAAAGCTTCACTCATGAAATACACAATCTGAAAGACTTTCTTTGCAATGCTTCCGTATCGTACATGATATTGCGATCTGATTTGTAGCTCGGGGAAGGACATGTTCAATGATGCATGATATTGTGATCTGATTTGTAGCTCGGGGAAGGACATGTTCAATGATGCATGATATTGTGATCTGATTTGTAGCTCGTGGGAAGGACATGTTCAGTAATACATGATATTGTGATCTGATTTGTAGCTTGGGGAAGGACATGTTCAATGATGCATGATATTGTGATCTGATTTGTAGCTCGGGGAAGGACATGTTCAATGATGCATGGTATTGTGATCTGATTTGTAGCTCGGGGAAGGACATGTTCAATGATGCATGATATTGTGATCTGATTTGTAGCTCGTGGGAAGGACATGTTCAGTAATACATGATATTGTGATCTGATTTGTAGCTTGGGAAGGACATGTTCAATGATGCATGATATTGTGATCTGATTTGTAGCTCGGGGAAGGACATGTTCAATGATGCATGGTATTGTGATCTGATTTGTAGCTCGGGGAAGGACATGTTCAATGATGCATGATATTGTGATCTGATTTGTAGCCTGTGGGAAGGACATGTTCAATGATGCATGGTATTGTGATCTGATTTGTAGCTCGTGGAAGGACATGTTCAATGATGCATGATATTGTGATCTGATTTGTAGCCTGTGGGAAGGACATGTTCAATGATGCATGATATTGTGATCTGATTTGTAGCCTGTGGGAAGGACATGTTCAATGATGCATGGTATTGTGATCTGATTTGTAGCTCGTGGAAGGACATGTTCAATGATGCATGGTATTGTGATCTGATTTGTAGCTCGTGGGAAGGACATGTTCAATGATGCATGATATTGTGATCTGATTTGTAGCTCGTGGGAAGGACATGTTCAATGATGCATGGTATTGTGATCTGATTTGTAGCTCGGGGAAGGACATGTTCAATGATGCATGGTATTGTGATCTGATTTGTAGCTCGTGGGAAGGACATGTTTAGTAATAAATGATATTGTGATCTGATTTGTAGCTCGTGGGAAGGACATGTTCAGTAATACATGATGTTGTGTTCTGATTTGTAGCTCGGGGATGGACATGCCTGATGATGTTGTTAAGACTATGGTCAATATGTTCCTGTACGCCATGGAAACAGATGATCTGGACTACATGAATGTTGTTACCGGTTTCGTCAGTATGCATGGATGTGTTGCATCAACATTTTTGCGTAGGTTTGTGGACAAGGTAAGTAGTACTACACATGTCCTGGTACTGTAATGCAATCAGCTGTTTCCTACATTCTTATCTTTTTATATATTTAATTATTCAGACAATTATTCTCATTTGTCGATAAGATCGTTTATAAAAGATGAGGAGCATATTTTTTTTGTGCTGATTCTGTTTGTCTGTTGTCCACGTTAACATTGCCCATGACTATTGCACCATAAGAGGTAGGGCTTTCATATTTGGTTTGTATGTTCCTTGTGACAGGTACCAAAATTTTTTCACACATGAATTTGACAGCGACCTTTGACCTACATTTGAAAAAAATTTAACATTGGCAATAACTATTGCATCGTAAGGGGGTATGACTTTCATATCTAATATATGTGTTCCTTTTGACAACAACTTTCTGGTATTACTTAAGTTTTTGACCATGTGTCCTTGACTGTAACCTTTGACCTACAATTGAAATTATTGAACATTGGCCTTAACTTTTGCACTGTAAGACATAAGTGTGCATGCAACTCGTACATGCTTTACACAGTACAGTTTTAATGTCCTCCTTCAGAATTTTGTTGCAACCAGGGGCATAGCGTTCTATTCACACATCTTGTGTTTTCGAGGATACGAAAATACAGTATACTTAGACTTGAAGAAAATACCTGAAAATTGAAGCTAATTGTCAAAACCGTATACATAGTCCTTTCCAAAATGGTCCTGGTATGTTCAAAATACAATGTAAGAGATTGATAGTATTGATTAAAATGTCACAAAATAACAATGCCAGGGTTAGTTTAATGACTTCTATGATGCTGATTTACACAGGATTTGGGCCATTTGCTGACATTTTTTGAATTGTAATTTAGATTGTAGCAAGATATTGAAATCAAACATACTAATGTTGTGCACATATTCCCAGCATTTGGGCACTGAGAATGCTGACAGAGTCTTAGTACCCTTAATGCCAGTCATCATGAAACAGTTAAACCACGAAGAGGACAGTCTCAAAGAAGCATCTCGTACGATTCTTTCATTAGCGAGTAACCAGGCACCTGCTGCAATCAGTCCATATTTACCAGCAGTGATAAAATGGTATGCAGCGACTCGTGATATTAAAGCATTGTGTAAGTTTTGAATATTTTATAATGACTTAAAATGCAAACAAAATTTTCAACACACTGATTGATAAATTTTTTTTTTTTCATCGTATCATTTTATATGTCCAGGGCTTAAAGAGTAAATGTTTTGGTGTGTCATTAGATTAGCTATATCTAAGTAAGTTTTATATGTACAAGTTTTCATTTTAAAAAAACTACTATTCCAGAATAGCTAGAGTAAGTATAACTGAATGTCAGATCTCAAAAGTCAAGCTAGTAAAATAATGTTTTTGGCAGGGATCAAAACCAAAATGTGTAAAAAGAGATAAATTACTCAGTATTGAGTAAAAGAATTTTAACGTAATTTTGTTGTTAGAACTTAAAACTTTGCTGGAGACATGGTAATTAAAGATGTTTGTTTAAGATTAAAACCGGCATGAATGAGATGATACACCACTTCAATAACACATTTACTGTGTATAATTAATGTATTGATTGCTTTGTCTGTGTTTGGTGTATCAATGGCGTTTAGTTATCAGTGGAGACAACCTTGAATTACGATACGTGTGTATGAGGTTTATTATCACCGTTTCCCACATAGTACTCAGATTTTTCCATTTGTCCTTAGTTGTGTTGTAAACTTCTATTTTTTCAAATCTCACATACAGGTTTATCTTGTTTATTGATGTTTTGATGTGATTGATACATCTGTCAGTTTTTTTTTGTCTATAATCTGTTTACCGTCTCATCACACTATTTTTGGCCTTAGTGTACATAGGATTTTAGTACAGCCGTAAAAGTTGGTCCATTCTGTATCATCTTGTATACTACGGACGTCAGTGCTAGTATGCTCCACACTGGTCATTTGTCTGATGGAGGTGACGTGTAGTCATTGAAACGTCACACTCTAATCTTCTACTTGTATTAAAAGAACTTCTATTCTATTGACATTACCAACCTGAAGAAAATGTTCCGAAATAGTTGAAGTATTAAGACAAGAGAAATTATTGATTTACAGCGGCACTTTGGATGCCTTATAAAAAGAGCGACGGAATCTCGCAAGAGGATTTCAATGAACTGATGAAGACAATGAAATCAGACACACAGGCAGACTCTGGATCTATGCAGTCTGTTATTTTAATGGACATTGGAGAGAAACAACCAGAAGTATAATAAAGTTTTATAAATTCATTTTAATTTCCTTCCAAAAAAATCATGACTTCAAAGATATTGGTCGTATTCTTGGAGTTAAATGGAATTATTTTTTCGCCCAAACTAACGCATTTTCGCAGAGAAAAACCTTAAGCAACTGTGTAACAGTAACTTTGTAGTTGGCAATAGTTGCAGAGAATAAAATTTTGGTATTTTCATGGTCAGGAAAGGAAGCCAGAAACAAAATCTCTATACTGGTATTATTTGTGATTTTGTTTTTTAATGGACATAGGTGAAAAATACTTTATTTCTTTCAGTCCTGAAACAAACTATTATTTGAGTCATAATTGATTTTAGGAAGATGTATATGTTTGATTTTCAGTATAATTCAGTACTTTCCAAACCCATTTTTCCACTATATAATATAATTGTATTAAAAACTTTTATTTTCAGCTATTTACCAAGGAAAGTGTCGACATGATGTTGAGTGAAAGATTCATAGACAGTACCAATGACCAGTACAGGATTTTGTGTGCCTTAACTTTTGTTGTTCCTAAGAAGTCAGAAATGTTTGGAATAAACATTGTGGACCGTGTCTTGAGGAATAAGGAATTGAATTTGACCTACACAAGTGCTCTGCAGAGCATCGGTGTAAGCCTGGCTTCACAACATCCGGTAATTTTCATAGAAAGGTTCTATGCTTAGCTGCTACCATTGATTGTTCTTTTAACAACAGATGTGTATATTACACTTAAACTATCATTCATCTGTTCATCCATAATGGTTGGATCTGTAGAGTGGGATATAGCTGGTGATCCAGCTGTATCAAACTCCGATGATCCAACCATTGCCGATACTTCTACTACCAATACTATCACTGGTATTTCAGCCGATAATGTGGCTGTTTTTCAAGCATGCAGAATTTATATGCGTCAATAGATGCGTCTCCATTGTATTGTCAATACTATATCATATATACAATAGACAATTGTAATTACGACACGGCTAAGCTGTAATTTTAGCTTTAGATATGCAAATATTTTTACCACTGTTCTGATTATGGCTAGCCGAGCTAGCCAAAACATGTAAACTTATAATAAAACCCCACAAACCAGCAGAATCCAGATGTTGATGCTCCATCTCCTCTGTCATTTGTATCTACCTTCCTTATTGAGGCTCTATTGAATACTGTTGGATATCCATCTTTGATTCCTTCTTGATTCGTTCGACGACTGAAGACAACCAGGACATTGGTTCTCTCCCACTCTGTTAAGACTTTTTTATTTAATATTAATAGTCGACGACAAAGTACCATGAGTGAGATAAAGCAAGATAACTCTCAAAATTTTGTTTTGTTTAAATACATATTCTGACTTTTCAGGAGTTAGTGGATACAGTTTTGGCTGAGCTTGTGAACCTGTCAAAAAAATGTGACAATCCTGTTTTCCAAGTCGCTTTGATTGACGGTATTCATACCGTCGGGACTCAACAGGGTCCTGAGCGACTAAAGCCACATCGACCATATATTGAAGATTTGCAAAAAGATGGGGCTACTGCTGGAATCAAAGAGATGGCCACATCTATCCTTAATGCAATGGATGGAATAAGGTAATCACACAAAATTTTATGCGCTAGTAATTTTACTATGCACCAATCAAATTAATTGTAATTTTACTATGCACCAATCAAATTAATTGTAATTTTACTATGCACCAATCAAATTAATTGTAATTTTTCTATGCACCAATCAAATGAATTGTAATTTTACTATGCACCAATCAAATTAATTGTAATTTTACTATGCACCAATCAAATTAATTGTAATCTTACTATGCACCAATCAAATTAATTGTAATTTTACTATGCACCAATCAAATTAATTGTAATTTTACTATGCACCAATCAAATTAATTGTAATTTTACTATGCACCAATCAAATTAATTGTAATTTTACTATGCACCAATCAAATTAATTGTAATTTTACTATGCACCAATCAAATGAATTGTAATTTTTCTATGCACCAATCAAATTAATTGTAATTTTACTATGCACCAATCAAATTGATTGGAATTATACTATGCACCATTCATATTAATTATAAATGTACTATTCACCAATCAAAATATTTGTAATTGCACTATACACCTATCAAATTAATTGTAATTGTAGTGTGCACCAATCAATTTTATTGTAATTTTAGCACTATGCACCAATTAAATTAATTTTTGTACTATGCACCAATCAAATTAATTGTACACACAATTTTCATAAAACTGCTTGAAACATGATTCTGTTACGTTTGTTTTAAAATCAGTACAATTTTGATTAAATATGAACGCGATTTCTGTTTAATTCTTTTTTTTACAGTGTTGAAGGAATAGTGGAGGATGTAAAACAACAGAAGGGAGACATCAATGTGCTCAACACCAAGGTCACAGAAAATACAGAAAAAGTTAACGTGGTGGATAAAAAAGTGGATAATCAAGGAAAAGAAATCGCAACGGTCAAAACTGGACTCCAAGCTACCGATAAGCGTGTGGATAACGTGGAAAAAGATTTGGATGAAACAAAGATTAAGGTTGAAGAGGTTGATAATAAGGCAAGTTTTAATTCCATTTCAAAATTCTGTTACTGTTCCTTATATTATAAACATGGTATTGTAATTTTCATGGTTTGCAGTATGATACATTTTACAGAGATAGCGGTATATTAAAGGATATGCTATTGTTGCCTGAATAACGTGTTTAAATCTGGAATGATATGATGACTAAATGCACTAGCATTTCTAGAAAAAAAAACAGTTTTTGGTTCATGTCTTTAATTTTATGGTTCATACAACAGTAAACTCTGCTGAAGATCTTCTGAAATATAAGATTAAGTAAGTAAGATTTCGAAAAAGGACACTGAAAAATGAACAAAGTTGATCTGTTTATACAAATCATTTTTGATGTTAAGTATTTATAGAATGTAAAGTGTGAATTTTCCAGACAGAAGATAAATATTCATATTTAAAATGCCAAGAGTCAGTTCTATTAGCCCTAGAACTAAATTCACCATTTGAAATCAGGTTTATTTTTATCATAAGTTACTAATTTACAGACAATGACTAATGCCCCTAGCTGGTCTAACTATCCTTCAACCTTTATATTCAATATTGCTTATCTCAGATGACCATCAAGGCAGCTAGGCCTCTTGTTCACTAACCAGTGGTCATTTCTCATTAGTTTTTGAACATATGAAGCCTTATAGATTCCAACTGGCACTTTCAAAATTTCTGTCAGTGATGATTCAGTACAGTGAATATACTGTGGTTTCTTTGTTAAATGACCTTAAAATTATAGCACTGTTCAGTAGTACTTGGAATTCATATTGATAAAATTATCTGTAATTTTGAAATCAGATATTTCTCATAAAAGAAATTTCATAAATGTAAACCCAGTATGTCATTTACAGACAATGACCAATGCCCCAAAATGGTCAAGAGATCTGACCAAGCTGATGAATCCAACAACAGAACATGACTGGAGACTCCTGGCCCAGAGGTTAGGGTACACACCACAGGACATCAAGGGCTGGGCGACCCAGCATGATCCCTGTATGGGCCTCCTTAGTGAGTGGTACGCCACCCACAAGACAATAGAGGCTACCCATGCTGTACTGACAGCTCTACAGGAGATGAACAGGATGGATGCTGCTGCCATTGTGGAGAATGCCATGAAGGCTGTAGGTCAGTAAACATTGTTATTTTATTATGTAGAGGATTAGTTACACTGAACAAACAATGTACTGGAGACTGACAGGCATTGAAAAATCAATGCAATGAGAAAAAACTCTTTTTCTCTGAATTTTCTGCAATCTCACTTTTCTCTTTTCCATTGTCCTTTAATTTGTAGTTTCCATTGATACATATATGTATAGGATGGGGTGGCTTCCTGTATATAATAACAATAGAATTGTGAAATGAAAATACTTTTGTTTTTTCCTAATTTTCTGAGAAAACATGAGGAAATCAATGTGAAAGAATTGGTACTCTTTACAGTCACATCATAATTATGTTTTTTCATACTTATCTAATTTCTGATGTTATATTCAATTTCTGTCCTCAGAGGGCGTTGTTGAAGAAGAGGTGGACTATGTCACACCTCCACCTATATTCCTAAGTTACCAATGGGGTCATCAGAATGAGGTCAAGTTATTACGCAACCATCTACAAATGGCCGGGTATGAGTGCTGGATGGACATTGGACAAATGGGAGGTGGAGACAAACTGTTTGAAAAGATTGACAACGGAATTCGTGGTGCAAAAATCATCATCTGTTGTGTTTCTGAAAAATATTCCAAGTCTCCCAACTGTAACAGAGAGGTGAGTAGTCAGTATCAGGTATATATCTCCCTACTGTAACAGGGAGGTGTGTAGTCAGTATCAGGTATGTATCTCCCTACTGTAACAGGGAGGTGTGTAGTCAGTATCAGGTATATATCTCCCAACTGTAACAGAGAGGTGAGTAGACAGTATCAGGTATATATCTCCCCACTGTAACAGAGAGGTGAGTAGTCAGTATCAGGTATATATCTCCCTACTGTAACAGTGTGGTGTGTAGTCAGTATCAGGTATATATCTACCAAGTAAATAGAGAGGTGAGTAGTCAGTATATATCTCCCAACTGTAACAGAGAGGTGAGTAGTCAGTATCAGGTATATATCTCCCTACTGTAACAGAGAGAGGTGTGAGTAGTCAGTAGTATATATCAGGTATATATCCCACTGTAACAGAGAGGTGAGTAGTCAGTATCAGGTATATATCTCCCTACTGTAACAGAGAGGTGTATATATCTCCCACTGTAATAGAGAGTAGTCAGTATCAGGTATATATCTCCCCACTGTAACAGAGAGGTGAGTAGTCAGTATCAGGTATATATCTCCCTACTGTAACAGAGAGGTGAGTAGTCAGTATCAGGTATATATCTCCCTACTGTATCTCCCTGCTGTACAGAGAGGTGAGTAGTCAGTATCAGGTATATATCTCCTTACTGTAACAGAGAGGTGAGTAGTCAGTATCAGGTATATATCTCCCCACTATATAGAGAGGTGAGTAGTCAGTATCAGGTATATATCTCCCAACTGTAACAGAGAGGTGAGTAGTCAGTATCAGGTATATATCTCCCTACTGTAACAGAGAACAGAGAGGTCAGTAGTACTGTAACAGAGAGGTGAGTAGTCAGTATCAGGTATATATCTCCCTACTGTAACAGAGAGGTGAGTAGTCAGTATCAGGTATATATCTCCCCACTATATAGAGAGGTGAGTAGTCAGTATCAGGTATATATCTCCCTACTGTAACAGAGAGGTGAGTAGTCAGTATCAGGTATATATCTCACTACTGTAACAGTGAGTTGAGTAGTCAGTATCAGGTATAGGTATATATCAGGTATATATCTCCCCACTGTAACAGAGAGGTGAGTAGTCAGTATCAGGTATATATCTCCCAACTGTAACAGAGAGGTGAGTAGTCAGTATCAGGTATATATCTCCCTACTGTAACAGAGGTGAGTAATCAGTATCAGGTATATATCTCCCAACTGTAACAGAGAGGTGAGTAGTCAGTATCAGGTATATATCTCCCTACTGTAACAGAGAGGTGAGTAGTCAGTATCAGGTATATATCTCCCTACTGTAACAGAGAGGTGAGTAGTCAGTATCAGGTATATATCTCCCTACTGTAACAGAGGTGAGTAGTCAGTATCAGGTATATATCTCCCCACTATATAGAGAGGTGAGTAGTCAGTATCAGGTATATATCTCCCTACTGTAATAGAGAGGTGAGTAGTCAGTATCAGGTATATATCTCCCTACTGTAACAGAGAGGTGAGTAGTCAGTATCAGGTATATATCTCCCTACTGTAACAGAGAGGTGAGTAGTCAGTATCAGGTATATATCTCCCTAGTGTAATAGAGAGGTGTGTAGTCAGTATCAGGTATATATCTCCCTGTACTGTAACAGGGAGGTGAGTAGTCAGTATCAGGTATATATCTCCCTACTATAACAGAGAGGTGAGTAGTCAGTATCAGGTATATATCTCCCTACTATAATAGAGAGGTGAGTAGTGTATATAACTGTAACAGAGAGGTGTGTAGTCAGTATCAGGTATATATCTAACCCAGTATCAGGTATATACTGTAACAGAGAAGTAGAGGGTATATATCTCCCTACTGTAACAGAGAGGTGTGTAGTCAGTATCAGGTATATATCTCCCCACTATATAGAGAGGTGAGTAGTCAGTATCAGGTATATATCTCCCTACTGTAACAGAGAGGTGTGTAGTCAGTATCAGGTATATATCTCCCAACTGTAACAGAGAGGTGAGTAGTCAGTATCAGGTATATATCTCCCTACTGTAACAGAGAGGTGTGTAGTCAGTATCAGGTATATATCTCCCTACTGTAACAGAGAGGTGTGTAGTCAGTATCAGGTATATATCTCCCTACTGTAACAGAGAGTAGTCAGTATCAGGTATATATCTCCCTACTGTAACAGAGAGGTGTGTAGTCAGTATCAGGTATATATCTCCCTACTGTAACAGAGGTGAGTAGTCAGTATCAGGTATATATCTTCCTACTGTAACAGAGAGGTGAGTAGTCAGTATCAGGTATATATCTCCCTACTGTAACAGAGAGGTGAGTAGTCAGTATCTATAATAGAGAGGTGAGTAGTCAGTATCAGGTATATATCTCCCTACTGTAACAGAGAGGTGAGTAGTCAGTATCAGGTATATATCTCCCTACTGTAACAGAGAGGTGTGTAGTCAGTATCAGGTATATATCTCCCCACTATATAGAGAGGTGAGTAGTCAGTATCAGGTATATATCTCCCTACTGTAACAGAGAGGCGTGTAGTCAGTATGTTTAGTCAGTATCAGGTATATATCTCCCTACTGTAACAGAGAGGTGTGTAGTCAGTATCAGGTATATATCTCCCTACTGTAACAGAGAGGTGAGTAGTCAGTATCAGGTATATATCTCCCTACTGTAACAGAGAGGTGAGTAGTCAGTATCAGGTATATATCTCCCCACTGTAACAGAGAGGTGAGTAGTCAGTATCAGGTATATATCTCCCAACTGTAACAGAGAGGTGAGTAGTCAGTATCAGGTATATATCTCCCTACTGTAACAGAGAGGTGAGTAGTCAGTATCAGGTATATATCTCCCCACTATATAGAGAGGTGAGTAGTCAGTATCAGGTATATATCTCCCTACTGTAACAGAGAGGTGTGTAGTCAGTATCAGGTATATATCTCCCCACTATATAGAGAGGTGTGTAGTCAGTATCAGGTATATATCTTCCTACTGTAACAGAGAGGTGAGTAGTCAGTATCAGGTATATATCTCCCTACTGTAACAGAGAGGTGAGTAGTCAGTATCAGGTATATATCTCCCTACTGTAACAGAGAGGTGTGTAGTCAGTATCAGGTATATATCTCTATATAGAGAGGTGAGTAGTCAGTATCAGGTATATATCTACCCACTATATAGAGAGGTGAGTAGTCAGTATCAGGTATATATCTCCCTACTCTAACTGAGAGGTGTGTAGTCAGTATCAGGTATATATCTCCCTACTGTAACAGAGAGGTGTGTAGTCAGTATCAGGTATATATCTCCCTACTGTAACAGAGAGGTGAGTAGTCAGTATCAGGTATATATCTCCCTACTGTAACAGAGAGGTGAGTAGTCAGTATCAGGTATATATCTCCCCACTATATAGAGAGGTGTGTAGTCAGTATCAGGTATATATCTCCCTACTGTAACAGAGAGGTGTGTAGTCAGTATCAGGTATATATCTCCCTACTGTAACAGAGAGGTGAGTAGTCAGTATCAGGTATATATCTCCCCACTATATAGAGAGGTGAGTAGTCAGTATCAGGTATATATCTCCCCACTATATAGAGAGGTGAGTAGTCAGTATCAGGTATATATCTCCCTACTGTAACAGAGAGGTGAGTAGTCAGTATCAGGTATATATCTCCCTACTGTAACAGAGAGGTGTGTAGTCAGTATCAGGTATATATCTTCCTACTGTAACAGAGAGGTGAGTAGTCAGTATCAGGTATATATCTCCCTACTGTAACAGAGAGGTGAGTAGTCAGTATCAGGTATATATCTCCCTACTGTAACAGAGATGTGTGTAGTCAGCAGTGGGTACATCTATTTATCTTCCTACTGTAACAGAGGTGACCAGCTAGTGATGGCAGTGATTTTATCAAAATTTTATAAAAAGTTCTGCTAATTAGGACTAGAATATGGACTGTATGATTCTGACCTTTATTCAGATGGAGCAACATGGAGGTCAAGATTACTGAAGAGGTCAGATGTCAGAAAAATATATTGCTTTTTATGTTCATTACTGAAAATGTTTTATTTTATTTACACTTCAGAATCCATGTTGGATATTTCATTTTTTAGGTGAACCTATCCACAAACCTTGGGAAGCCCATGATTCCCCTCCTGATGGAGAAAATGAGCTGGCCACCGAAGGGCTCAATGGGACCAATCTTCAGCGAGTACCTGTTTGTAAGATTCTTCCAACGTGGAGGGGAGGAGACTAAAGACCAACGGTACTGGCCAGTTCCCAAGTTCCAGGAACTGTTGATGCAACTCAACATGTATCAAGCCCTGCCTGAGGAATCTCTTATAACCAAAGGTAAGTACAAAAAATGGTCACAATTTCTCATGTGGGATTGTGAAGTTACAACCATAATATTTTTTCAATAACCATGCCACCCACTGTAATTTATAAATCATATTGAGGCTTTTAATTTATAAAGATACAGAATTATATACTTGTAGCGCTAAAAAAGAGGAATCAAATTGGATATAGCACATAATTTTGTCATTAACAAAAACACAATCACAACAATAGAAGGAAGAAAATAAGCATTTTGTTCCTATGTTTACAAATATCTTATGTACAGTAGAAAAATTTACCATACTATATACATACAACTTATTCAGAGTACAAGAACTGGTGGAAGCCAGTGGCAGAAGAAATTGTTATTACCAAAATAAAAGGAGGGGACAAAGGTCAAAGTTCATCAGGAAAACAGCCATCTTTAAAGGTAAAATATTAAATAACTTACGGCAGGTTTCCTAAGGACTTTGATATAAAACAGAAGTTTCCTTTATAGTGAAGATTTCATACCCCGGATTAGATTGCTTACTTTGAACATACTTAATTTGGCTCTTAATTTTAGCATATGTCTTCTTTATGCAAATTAACTCAATGTTGAATGCATGCATCCGCATCATTAGAACAATCATATTTTATTGCAATAATTTCATGTTTAAAAGCATTGCAAAATTACTGCTATAAGATGTAGGTTTACATTATTTTGCTCTTCAATATGTGACAACTCCCAAGATGGAATTTAATGATGATGATGAAAAGTTTTCTGTATCTGTTAAGTTACACTAGAACAGCATGTTAAGTACCATCGGTCAGTAAACCTGTGTTATTGTGTAACCTAGATTAGGTAACACTAGAACAAGGATATTTTGTACTGTCAGTCAGTCAGTCTGCCTGTATTATTGTGTAACCTAGATTAGGTAACACTAGAACAAGGATATTTTGTACTGTCAGTCAGTCAGTCTGCCTGTATTATTGTGTATCCTAGATTAGGTAACACTAGAACAAGGATGTTTTGTACTGTCAGTCAGTCAGTCTGCCTGTATTATTGTGTATCCTAGATTAGGTAACACTAGAACAAGGATGTTTTGTACCGTTGATCAGTCAACCTTTGTTATTTCAGGAGGGAGAAGACTCCCCGGATGTGTTCCTGTCATACCAGTGGGGCAAACAGAACCAGATCAAGCAGTTGTATAGAAGGTTGAACGAGCTTGGATACAGCTGCTGGATGGATATTTACCAGATGGGAGGTGGGGATTCACTCTATGATAAAATTGACAGAGGTGTTCGTGGCTGCAAGGTTGTCCTGAGCTGTGTTACCACAAAATATACCTTGTCGGCAAATTGTCGCCGGGAAGTGAGCCTGGCAGATTCTCTCAAGAAGCCAATGGTTCCTCTCCTCCTGGAGAAGATGGACTGGCCCCCTGCTGGACCCATGAGTATGGTCTTCACACAGCTTCTCTTCATCAATTTTTACCGTGATGAAAAAGTGCAAATGTCTTGGGATGGAAGCAAATTTGATGAACTCCATGGTAAGATAAATGAATATCTCTCCCTGAGTGCTGGTGATCAGCCTGCAATCAAAGGTCCAGAAAAAGGACCCAAAGAAGAAACAAACAAAAGCCAAGCACAGGTATCGTCTAAAGAAGTAACAAAACCAGCCCAGCATGCACAAGAGGAACAGGTCACACCAAAGGAAGAAACCAAAACTGTTGTTAAACCAAACAAGAAGTCTTCATCTTGCATACTTCTTTAGTCTTACAGCTTTTAATGCAAACTGTGCCCATTTTTATGCCAAAGATTCTCTGAAGGGTAAAAGATGGAGAGGAAAAAGGAAGGGTATTTTTTTTTAGTTTACGCCAAATATTCTCTGAAGGGTAACAGGAAAAATTAAGGGTATTTCTTTATCAATCTTTGTTTTGTGACACAAAAAGAGTTTGGTTACTTAAATATAGATGAACTTTTGAATACAGCTATATTTATCCAGTGATAATCTCAGTAGAAGTCCAGAATGTAATCTAAAACACATGAAAGGTATGTCACAGACTAAGGATTTGTGCAGGAGAAAGACAAGTAGATTAATTGTACAATTGCCTTCTGGCAGCTTCCAGAGTTGGCTTGTCTAGATAAAAAAAATTCAAGAATGTTTTTATGAAAAACAAAATATATTTATTTTATTAGAAAATGAATGTGGCATTAATATGTGATGTTTTACAGAATTGTGTAAAGATAATATATACATGTAGCCTTTGAGTTTAATTTTTAAATTGACCAAATACTGCCTTTTAGAGGGATACATACATGTGTCATCAGACATATAGCTATTGGTGTTATGATTTTTATTTATAAACTACTTGTCCTTAATGTCTTTTAGTACACTTAGCTCAAGTGTACACAATAGTGTACTAGACAGCTAGTAGTTAGTTCTTATAAACATACACAATCTGTCCAGCCCTTTCTCGTTTGTGATAACAAACCTAGTCAATGCCTTGAATAATTGGTTTTTTTTAAGATCTATACTTGTAATATCATTTTGACTTGATCCCTCCGGATATTTCTGGTTTATGATGATTTGTGTCATTTTATTTTGACTTAATCCGTCCAGACAATTTTGGTTTATGATGAAAAACCTATATGTTCCTTTCATATCATTTTGACTCAATCGGTCAAGACATTTCCGGTTTATGATGAAAAATTTATATTCCTTTCATATCATTTTGACTCAGTCCGTCAAGACGTTTCCGGTTTATGATGAAAAACCTATATTCCTTTCATATCATTTTGACTCCATCCGTCAAGACATTTCCGGTTTATGATGAAAAACCTATATTCCTTTCATATCATTTTGACTCCATCCGTCAAGACATTTCCGGTTTATGATGAAAAACCTATATTCCTTTCATATCATTTTGACTCAATCCGTCAAGACATTTCTGGTTTATGATGAAAAACCTATATTTTTTTGTCGTTTCATTTTGACATGATCCGTCCAGACTTCTCCAGTTTGTGATGATTATTCCATAGATTTATTGTATTTTTTTATTAACTTTTTACATTTGTGATAATGTTTTGACTTGATCTGTCCAGACATCATAAATTTGTATTAATACACCGAATAAGTCTGTGTGTATATTCAAGATTATCATATTAATGATGTAATTTCCATTACATTATTGTTAAAAGGTACTTTTTTCATCTCTCATTCCCTCTATTCAATTCCTACTCTCACCTGAGTTTGTAGTGATTTCCATTGTTTTGTAAGGAGAATTTGTTACAGTTTTGGGTACATTATCAGAATTCAAGTATACTTTTTTGAAATGCAGTTTTACTGTTTTAAGAAATCTTTAAGAAGACACAACCATCAGGTTATGATAGCATTTAGAATTTTTAACCTTATATGGTCTGTGGTATAGTAAAAAGCAATAGTCGATTAAAGACAATCATTATGTATGTAACAGTTAACAATGTAACAATGCTTGGGGACTGCATGCTGAAGTGGTTAAGGCCTCTGAGTGTCTTTATCACTAGCCACCACCTCTGGGTCGGGGAATTCGAGGCCTACATGGGTAGGTCGCCAGGTACTGGCCGTAGGTTGGTGGTTTTTCTCCGGGAATTCCAGCTTTCCTCCACCAACCAAACTTGGACCGGCATTTAATGAACTTGGCTGTTAATAGGATGTAAAACAACAACAAGCAATAAACCAGCATGATAGATAAGTCTGCAAGGGATACAAGTCATCAAAATCATTTAATATTTTTTTACTTGAATTATACAGTTGAATTCTTTTCATTATATCTGTTTAAATATTTTTACACAATATTGGATGCTAAATCTAATCCTGTATACAATAGACTGTGATATTTCATTGTCTGCATGTTTAAGTATCATCCTATTTTTTTACATTAATGTCCTTTATGTACTTAAATCTTGAGGTCTTTATCTATATATGTTTATTATTTTTACTCTTCAGCTTATACTTTGATGATTTAATGTAATGATAATATATGTTGAGTAATGATTTACACTTATAAGCAATTAGTGATGTACAATAGGTAATGTAAAAGTTATAAATTGTTTGCAATGTTTTATGATATAACATTTACATTCATCAATGTAACAAATGAAAATTAATCATAAAAAACGTTGTCATTTGATACTGCAATTTTAGCTTTTATTTGAGTGAATAAATTTACTTTATGGAAGTTCTATTGGTAATAGTTATTTGATGGATGACTTTGGTGTTGAAGTGCGCTTAAAAGAACACACTGATTCTCAATGATATATTCTCAAACAGCAATCACAGACTTGTACAATATTTTGAGGATTTGGATGATATTTCCTGATTAAAGAAAGGACACATTCGAAAAATAAAGTAGCGAAAAACATCAAATAGAAAATAAAAAGTTAAAAAGTTTTTCCACCAAGGCCGTTTTCCCTAACCCTGAATAACACATGGACCTGTCTCAAGCATGTTACTTTTCCTCCAGGTAAGGTTAAGTGAGTGAGATGTTTTTAAGAACATATATACATGTATATTGAAAGACGGAAACTCTCTGAACTGCACCAAAGACCAAAGGAGACGGTAATGTCGGAGGGGTTACAGAACTTGACACGATGTTTTCGTTTGACACGTGTAAATGTTAATAGGACAAAAGCAATTGAAAGTTTCATTAGACGTCAGACTGATGATGAGCACGTGACTCTTTCGGTCCTTGGTCAGGGCATCGTTAGGGAGATATTTAGCTCTGGTAACAAGTATTGGAAACAAAATTATCAAAAATGTTCCCAACCTTCTTGCGATTGCAAGCTCTGGAGCAGTCCTTACCAGCCAGTGGCTATGTGAATGCGAAACATCGTCTTCAAACCTGTTCTCCAAATGGCCACTTTCTGCGTAATGTGCCACTGGGTTCACTCGTGGTTGAAACGTTAGGAGTGGAAACCATGAAGTTTGCCTTTGAACTTGGAAACAAAAGAAGATTAATGAGTAGCCACACACTAGACACAACCAGTCCTTCGTTATGGACGAAGTGAGTAGACGAAGGCGTACGTTTGCATTATAAATGATAACACGTTTGGTTACCTATGGAGACCTTTGTAGCTTACTTCTCTCGGTCTTCCCATGTGTATTCATTTATATATCATTATTCTATGATAATGCATCTTTAAATATATTCAGAAAAACACACGGATGAACAAAGATAGCATGCTACAAGGGTCTCCAGAGATAACCAAATCAATAATGTTGTAATTCATAATACGTTTTCTCTGTGGTTTTGACGAGCGGCAAATATCCCGACAAAATGAAAAAGAAAATATCATTAGATTTCGTCATTAAGCGACGGTTTCTTACTGTTAGACACAGCCTATTTTTATTACAATTGTCTGGATAGGAATTCATGAGGGGTGGACAGGGCTATACGTACTAAGTATATCAACAAAATATCAACATGTCATCATGATCTAAACTCAAATTCAATAAAACTAGGGCAAAATACGAACAAAAGAAATATTTACACGGAGACTCCTGAAAACATGCCAGGATAATAAGACCAGGTGTTCCGGAAGAGTAAGCGACACCTGCCATGTAAATCTTGGTCAATCCAAGTATGTAATGTCACGTTCTGAAATGAGAATAAGGTATACAACAACAGAACCAACAGGCAAACTGGCGACCGTTAAACGCGACCAGTTTCAACTTACGACTGACACGTTGATGTGCATTTTCAGATGGGAATTTATTTCAAATATTATATATTGTCCTTATAAGCAGAGCAGGTTTACTGCGTGTCGCCTGTATATCACATTTTAAGAGCTCGTTTTTTTGTTTTTTTTTTTAATTGTTCAGCGAAACTGTCTGCAATTATTTTTTCTGATGTTATTCTTGGTGTTAAAGATATTTGGCTGGATACATCGCAATAACAATTTAGAGATCCGAATTTGTAAGACTACTAGGAAAGGCTAGTATAGAACTATACGACGGATTATATAGATTTTAACGATTTGCTAGCGAGAGCTGGAAAGAACTCATTTGAGATGTGCCAACGATCGCGTGTGAGGTTAAAAACTTATCAGCAAAATGTATGGAAGTAGCTGAATGTGTACCACGAACTCTGAAGTAAATGTTCGCCCGTGAAATAAAACAACGTTTCATTCAGTCTTTTAAAAATGTCGCACACGTGACAGACTGAAACAAAAAGCACTACGTTCAAAGCGCCCCGGTGATCGGTCTAAATTCAAATGAATGCGTTCAAACGTGAAAGAGAAAAAAACTGAATCCTGTCATTTCTTAACAATCGGAATGGAAGTGTTACAAAATATCATCATATGTATATCATCAACTTATTTTTCAAAAGATCCAGGCAAGCCACTGTCTTTACTATAATCGTTTAGGATATTGGTAATTTTCCGTCTTGCTAGTTATTATCACGTTCTTAAACACTTCGTCCTAATTTTTAATAATGTCAAATCGGATGGTCTGCTTTAATATATTCAGTAACGAGTTCATTAACTTTTGATGGTCATAAATTGTTGTGTACCAGATAATCCCGACAATCAATTATGGTAGTCTAGGACGAATAAATGAACAATCCTATAGCAACATAATTTGCGCACTCCCCGCTTTGGACCTGTGCTTTTCATGAAGAACTTAACAAATTATTGTAAGGCTATGTTGTGGGTTCAATATCCAACACAAATGCCATTGGAAATCTCTTGATTTGGAACTATAAATTGTTTCTGTGAATTGTACATGTTGGCCTATCATTTGTGATGTCAATTCTGTCGCGAGACAAATTTTCATTGGTGGTGTTATGAAGGCCCATTATATTAAATCGGTTATATGTAATTGAATAAACATATAAAGCACCATTAAACGACCAATATATTAAGTTTGTTAATTGATTTTAAACAGCTTGAACCTCAGTGCAGATAACGATCCGTGTACACTGATGATTAAGTACTTTGTGAGTAGAATGAATGCGTTCATATTATGAAAAACAAGATAGGCAAGTGAATTTTGTCAAATATTAACGGCAACTAAAGATTTGATAGGATAATTGCGCGACTGTCCTTATTATGGCAAATAAACAGTCATATAATTGTAAGACACAATGGTATGCATTGTAAACACCAATAAGGACGATTTCAATAAATATAGACTCCGCATGCTAATGTGTGAAAGCTTACTTCCGCCAGTGCACAAGCAAGCAGACAAGTGTGCACAGCACTTCTCCGTTGTGATATCCCACGCGAAAGAGAAAAAAACTGCATCCTGTCATTTCTTAACAATCGGAAATGGAAGTGTTACAATATATCATCATATGTATATCATCAACTTATTTTTCAAAAGATCCAGGCAAGCCACTGTCTTTACTATAATCGTTTAGGATATTGGTAATTTTCCGTCTTGCTAGTTATTATCACGTTCTTAATCACTTCGTCCTAATTTTTAATAATGTCAAATCGGATGGTCAGCTTTAATATATTCAGTAACAAGTTCATTAACTTTTGTTGGTCATAAATTGTTGTGTACCAGATAATCCCGACAATCAGTTATGGTAGTCTAGCACGAATAAATGCTGTTGAATTATTAAGTACTCAGTGAGTAGACGTACTTCTGATAAAATCTATTCATCATTTATAAGATCTGTGGTGGAAAGCATTTCACGTGTTTGAGACGGCTGCTCTGAACCTTTGTCTGATAACATAGAAAAGGTGCAGTTAGAAGCACCTGGAGTCGTCTATGGCCTAGTATCTCTAGCCTCACGTAAGTCGCTGTATTTGAACTCGTTGGGAACTACGTAACGAGAGAAGAGACGAACTTAAGCTTACTATATTTCTTAAAATACATCATAAAAGTGTTACAACTGGCCAGGCAGAGATAAAATAAACACGAAACACGAGCCTAATGGACCTTGGCAATTATCAATTACCTTGATGTCGTCTAGAATATACTGAAAGCACATGGTTTCAATTAACTTTGTCATTCGGTCGGGACAATTCCCGCATGTACATTGCATATGAAGTAAGCTGAACGGATCACTAACTTTGCATCATGAAGCGACGACCGATTTCTACTGGATCCAATCTGTTCATCATTGCATTAGTAAAACGTCCCTGAATTCATGACGATCAGAAAGGATTATACGTGCAACTGACACATTAATAATGGATATATTTTTAATATTGTTCTTTTTAAGTCTATGTGATGACGTTGCATCTAAAAATAGAATATTTACTCGAGTTCTGCGGGTCGCCACTAACGATCTTGATATGTATAAACTCGACTCCAACGATGGAGTCATGAACCAAGGTTTATGTTCAACGTTTTGTAAAAGCGATGAATGTCGTGCTTTCTCATATACGACATCGGAAAAAAGGTGCGACACATACTCTCGGGAAATAGATGAGGAGGGAACTGCGAATGTATCAGTATCTACTTTGTACTTTTCAAAAGGTAGGTACATTGTACATGCTTTTTTATTGTCGGTTTACATCAGTTTCTATACAACAGACGCACAAGAAAATATAACCAGCCCATGAAAATTTAGAAAAATAAATATTTCCAAAACACTGTAGTATTTTCTCTCAAAATAAATCCTATTTTTCTGAAATTCGTAGAACGTAATGGGCGGATTGGTATACGATTTTTTTTTTGTAAATTTATGAAATTTATATAATAAATATTCTGGAGATTAAAACTAAAATAACATACTTTAAAATGATCGTCCATATTCTTCAATCACTGCATCCTCCCCATATTCTTAATTAATTGTCACGTTTCGATAAAGTGGGGGAAAAAAACCAAGAAAATACTAATATGTCAACATAATCTGATCCAAACTCAAAATCAAGAAAACTAGAGCAAAATATGAACAAAAGAAAGATTTACACGGAATCTCCTGAAAAAGTGCAAGGAGAATAAGACTATGTGTTCCGGAAGAGTAAGCGTCTTCCGCCTCACAGACGACACCTTCCATGTAAATCTTGGTTAACCAAGTAACATTTTTATTGCCCAATTCCCTTATTGCTAGCCTGGAATTTTCTTTTATAGAAATATGACATTAAAATCTAATTCCTTGCGAAACAGCATCAACAAAACACAATTCAATATTGAAAACATTTTTGCTTTATTTCGATGAACATCTATGGGTATTAGATTGTAAACGTGCTTGGGTCGTGTTGTTATCGATGCCTAGTTCCAGCCCCTTAACATCATCGTCACAAGAGATAGTCCTACACATATTTTGATTTTATTCGATGTATTTAATAACAGGATTGATGGTTTGCACAATTCCAAGTTTTTGTTCCTTTAGCCATGAAATAAATTTTAATTTAATTGAAATATGTGATTAACCCGAACGTTAAACAACCTCCTTATAAAACGACTGTTATCTTAGAATATGGAGACTTACAGGAATGTCACTATGTAGTCCTGTTTTGATGAAAAAAACGGCATGAAGAATTGAGGAAGACCACATTTCGTGATTTCTCAATGCCCTCATTACTATTATTATATTTTTGGAGACAGATCAGAAACGATTTTCAAGAGGCAAGTAATGAGTAAATTATTTGAAATGATTTTTTCTTCTTGTTTCTTTTTACATATAGGTATATATATCATTGACAAACAGCAAAGGTATATTTTGAAGAATCTAACGCTATAATGATTTGATTTTGAGACAAAATATTAAATGTGATTATCTCATTATATTCTGATATATATCATAAGTAACATAATGACACACTATCCACTACGTCAGTCTGTTCAGATGTGATAATGTACAGGTAAATGACACGCTGTGTCAAATCCTGACACGTGGTAAAGACACGCTGTGTCAAATCCTGACACGTGGTAAAGACACGCTGTGTCAAATCCTGACACGTGGTAAAGACACGCTGTGTCAAATCCTGACACGTGGTAAAGACACGCTAGTCACACTCTTATGTCCAGTTGTCCACCAAGGACGTCAGAAGACTGACATTCTTCGGCGAGGCAACGCCTAAAGATAGGGCGAGTCACGGAGATGGAACACCTGTAATCAACCAACCATTAATGTGCTGAAATTATTATTTGATCTTGCTATCAACATGTTGGCCAGATCTATACAGATCGGGAAGAGTCTGGTTGACATGCGTTATTCATCTCCGGTTTGTTTGGTTTCTGAAACTTTCTATTTAGAGTTTTTTTTTTTTTCATGAAACTTGAATTTGAATTTTCACTAGATTTATAAAAATCCTGGACAACACAGTGGACCATCACTAATGAAATGATGTCGGATATAAAAGTTCTATATATCAGTTCTATTGTGTATGCACCAATCAGTATGACATCACATATTTTAGATATAGGAGCTGAAGATTCCCCCGACCTTTCCTCTCAAAAAAAAAAAAAAAAAAAAAGAAAAAAAACCCCTTCCCCTGCAGCCGAATGTTATCGACTATAACCTCTTAAAGATATGAAACCCGATTAATGGACTACCCTGTTGATTATTATGCCAAACCTGAGGAATATCGTTGTCAAAGACCTTAATCATTTCTATACAGATCTTATTCATCTAACAATTACCAAAGTTTAAAGTTCTGTTCATGACAACTATTATTATTCCTTGTGCCCTAACTGTTAAAAATGGTACAGTGCTAGCTCTACAGTGGTTTCTAGACGAAAACTTTTCAATCTCTCATTAGTATTTACCTGGACCTGGACCTCAACCTTATCAATAGTAATCACGTTTTAATCTGCGCCATTCTCAGTTGATGCAGCGTCTGATCCAAACCAGACATATTCATGAGCGTTTCAGTTCTGGCAGACCTCGAAAACCTACATATAGAGATGATAGACTTCTGTGTAGACAGGCTAGGTGAGCTCTATTCACCACTGACACCAGGCTCAGAGGACGGTGGGACGTTAATAAACATAAAGAAAATACAAACATGCCAAAATAATTATGATCCAAACTCAAATTCCATAAAACTCGAGCAAAATGTGAGCAAATTGAAAGATTTACACGGAGCCTCCTGAAAAAGTACAAGGAGAATAAGACAAAGTGGTCCGGAAGAGTAAGCATCTTCTGTCTTCCATGTTAATATTGGTCAATCCAAGTAAGTACTATCATATTCTAAATATTTCTCAGTGAATCACTTAGGGATTACACAACTTCCCCATAATTTTCATCAACCTACATCTTTGGAAACTCTGCATTATGAGTTCGTTCATCAGTTGACGACTTTTTGCACGAAAATCGTGATAACTGGAACAGGCCCTTGAATAACGAATCAACTGCGTCATAGGTTGGTGATGCAGGTATACTGCTATCCAGGTATAGAAAGTTCACAATAGAGAAATTGAAATCATCACGTTCATCATACAGATTGGTGGAATGCTGTCCGTGTTGGTTTCATAGTTGGAGAAGCTCGAGAGATTTCATGTCTTTGGTTTCCAAATCTGGTGGATATATCCGATGGAAGTGGTCACTAAATGTCTTGCTATTTAAGGACAAGATGTCATTAACATATCTGAATGTTCGCGTTAGCCGGCGCTGAGTGACATCAACAGACGTTTGAACAATAGGCGACTGCATTCTCGCCGACCAAGTTAACCGTTCTCTGTTGACTGGAACACATGAACAAGCAAGACTGCAATGGGCGCGTGATCACTGTACATGGGATATTAGGTCTTGGCGAAGAGTCCACTTGTCTGATAAAAGCCGCATTTTTACTTAGAACGACAAACGACAGGACAGAAATACAGAAATACCATTAGGATCACATTCAGAATTACAACAGCATTTGGTGGCGACGGCGTTACCGGTCGAGGATGCTGTTCTCTGTAGTGTGAGCTTTCCTTGCATGTCCCTATGGAACTTTAAATGAGCAGAAGAGATAAGATTTTATGACTTTCGCTTGTTCAACATTTCAGTGTTTATTCATTGGACGAATGACCCATCGTTTAGGATAACCTTCCCAAACCACTTAGAACCTTCTAAGTGCAAGACCATATTCAACAATGCAATGTCACCAGACATGAATTCAATTGAGCATGTTGGGACTATTTCAGACAAGTCATTTAGATCCAAAATGCCAAACATTTGGAAAATTGTTGACCGCATTGAAGTGGCAGAGGTTTCCGCACAACAAAATTCGGCATCTGTGCTATGGGCACAGGAATTGTACCACAAAGCGTGGTTGCTATACCTGATATTGACAATCTCATACCCAATATGACTCTTTGATTAGTTAATATTTTTTATTACATGCTTTGATGATTCGATGACGTATCTGCCAAACAGACAGTCAAACTTTCCCCCTAGACTTTGGGAATGCCTTTTGTCTCCGAATATGATGTTTAGGTGTCATTAGATATTTTAGGAGGTAATGGTCAGGCTTCAAGTATAAGAAATATGTGTTAAACGTTTCAGTTTCTTTTTCTTAATATCCTTGATCAACATTACGTTCACTTTACAATCATACGCTTTCAAGTCCTTGTAAGAAAATATTTCAAGAAGAAAATGTTTAGTCTTGATAACAGGAATCACACGATAATGTAAAGAAAGAAAAGTGACTAAAATATCCCATATGCATCGAAGTCGAAGAACGAGACGGTTTGTATACTTTTTCGACTTGGCCGTCAACAATTGTATCAAACTTAAATTTGTTTAATAAGAACAAGAACTGTTATCACCAAACCTGCTTTAGCAAGAGCATCTTAGTGTAAGTTTTGAATTTTAATTTAAGTCTATACTTAGTTGTTGAATAGAAGTTGGGTGGTCGGATGGCGCAGCATTAACTTTTCACATACCCGTCCGAGGTTCGATTCCTGGAATGGACGTGAAAAGGTAGGGAGTGACATGGCCGACCACGTGAGCTTTCCCTGGGTACTCCGGTTTCCTCCAACAGTAAGACCTCTTGCACGGTTACATCCGGGCCAACAAGAGTGATTACTATAAGTTGCTTTAACTTGTTTCGCAATTGTTGTAACATAAAGCTGTTTTTAAACAGAGGTTCCCCAACAACTGACTGTTCTTTATCATGTTTATCTAACTCGAGTTCGTTAATTTTCACATTAAGTTAAAGACACGAGCTTTAAAGTGAACGAATTTCAAATTAATGGTAAGCAAATTACAAGACTTCATCCAGATCACGACACAGACAAATGGCGACGACTTCTTTGTACACGCTAATACTACCTTAATCTGATTTCTCTGCCATTGATGGCATAAATACCAACACTTTGTCAGATGTTTGGTGTTTGTATGTAAAGAAGCTGGTGACAGGTGACCATGTTGATTTTTTGCATTAACAGACGGCAACAAAAAAACATGGCCTATTCAGATGTACATACCCTGGGGATTTTCACCTGTGTATAATGTAAAGATCTTTATCAGTACCTGTTTCATTATATATTAATTATATTCCTAACATACTAAAATCAATTAGTTTCATACAGTGCGTTAATGATGTGTATGCACCAAAATGCCAAACAGAAGCCAGCCGAACGAATCCGAAAAAAAAAACCACCAAAAAAAACGGCCAAATGATCTGTTTAATAAAACGGTTGTTCGTGGTTCTGACCGACTGTAGTCGGACAGGGGGCGTACAGTAACCATGCAGTTCTTAAGTGGGTACTTAATTCATTATGTGGCTATATTGTATCTAAACCTTTATTTATATTAAAAGGTGCCTAATTTTTGGCCGATTTGGCAATAGAATCGGAATGTCGACATTCATTCAAAACAAGATGTTTTCAAACGTCACTAGGTGTTAGATATTTGTTAAGAAGAAAACTTCGTTCCCTATCGTTTAATTCCAAAACGTATAAATTTGGCAGCCTTTATCAGACTACCAAGTTAAAGCACAGTATGTTCATGTAATTATGAATTAAATTCCATGGTGGGGTTAGCCCTGGCAATGTAATTAGAATGAAACATTGTCTTTATCTTCAATACCCCCTCATTGCTATGATGTTTTAAAGTAAGTTTAATTTTAGATGACAAAGTTGGCTGAAAATTAAAATTAAAATATATATACTTTAGCGAACAAATACTGGACTGATATATTGAAGTCACGCCTATTCTTATATTGTTTGATGTCTCACAGAGAAGCTTTGTCAAGCTGAATAAAATTGACCACCTGTTTTCCTTCATATTACCTGTTTTCGAAAACGAGTGAATGTCAAACTCACTTTATCCACAAAAATGAATCTCAGTTTATCCACAATAAATAGAACTCATTATATCCATAATAATTGAAATGCACTGTACCTACAATAAAAGAAACCTAGTTTATCCGCAATAAAAGTAACGTATTTTATCCATAATAAATGAAACTCAGTTTAACCTCAATGAATGAAACTCACTTTATCCTCGTTTTTTTTTAAAACGAATAAGACTTAGTTTATCCACAATAAATGAAATATTACTATGTATAGAAACATAAAAGATCTTGTGATTGGTGTTGTTATCGTACTCTGATAATGTCTACCTGTAACGCGTTTAAGACCACCGTGTACTGATGCATTTCTCATTATTTCTAGAGACGAGTAGCTGTTCCGAAGTCAAATCAGGATCTCCGTCTGGACTGTACCTAATATACACCAAGGAAGGCAAGCATGTCAGTTTGTTCTGTGACATGGACACAGCTGAGGGGCCGTGGACAGTAAGTATGAGTCTGAAAAAGTACAGTTTGAATAACTACAGGTGTTGCGGAAGAGTTTCATCTGCGACACCCTCCACCACAAATCCTGGTCAATCCAAGTTAGTAATGTCATGTTCCCAAACTGAGAAGAAGGTATAAAGGCAACGGAACCAACAGGCAATATAACAAATATAGGTTTATGTACTGATTTTTGAGAAAAATGATATCATTCTTATTGTATGATCGATGGAAACACAACTTTTCAGTTAATGTATTCATGACAATTTCATTTGTTATATACCCCAGACTTTTAAATTAAAAGTTTATTTTCCGAATATTTCCATTATACATGTATATTCAATAGCGAAAATTCTACCTCATTCCCAGATTGTCATTTGTACAGTATTGATATAAGAATAAACCTAGACATCTGTGATAATTTCTGTTATAATTCTGATCTTTATACACACAGGTCATACAGAGGAGAAATAGCGGGAATGTTGATTTCTACCGTAACTGGACAGAATATAAGAATGGCTTTGGAGATCTGAATACAGAGTTCTGGATCGGTAGGCAATGAGATATGCATCTGTTAAAGTGACATATTATGAAAGTGTTAATAATTTGTTGTGGTGTAAATTTTAAGAGAGCTCCTCTCAATTTGTAATGAGAACAGCTTTTAAACGCGAAGAACGATGAATAAAAAATGATGCTATACAATCTCGCTTATTTCATGAAATGAAATGCTTTATTAAACAAATTAATTTGTATTTGATATACATGTATTCAAACAGTCATTAGTGTAACTTTCGCAGTTCCTGTTCAACAGGTAACGACCTCCTCCACCTCCTCACCAGCACTATCAGTACCCTTCGCATTGAATTAGGAGCCTGGGATGGAACAAGAGGATATGCCCAGTACAAAAAATTCCAGGTGGCCAACGAAGCTCAAAACTACCGTCTTTCACTACAGACCTCCTCTGGTAACGTTTCTGGTAAGGTATCATCTTCTCGCATACTTCTTTGTAGCGAATATATTCCGATAAGTACGGCTAAATCATCTTTCCTGCTGTCAACTGTCAATTTCATTAATTGTAATCTAGAATCATTGGTCTGCTTTCGTTTTACCTTTCAATTCGTGGTTAGCTTTAATCTTGAGCTTTAGCGATTGTTTGGCGATTGTCTGAAGCGCAGTTACATGCACAATGTACATTACTAACATCGTTTAGAGGAATTGAAGTCACATAATCATAACTTGTTTTCATTCTATGACATTTACAAATGCTTGAATCAATTGCTTCATATTCCTTCAAGAAAGAGTTGATACAATTATGAAAAGAATTGATATTTGTTCATGACAAGTGAACCTGAAAAATGTGACGTGCTCAGTGCAGAATGTTCAGTTGTCTCAAGACTAGCGCGGTAATAATGCTTTTTTTGAGACCAAAGTCTTGTTGAAATAGCACATGGTTTTCCTGTAAGTAACTTTTATTTACATCATTTCTATCACAAAAACTGAGACTTTTAAATAAGTAATGCAATAACCATCACATAGCTGAATTACTGCTACACTAGTTATTTTAAGCGATAAAATTAAATTCTTAAATGTATACATCTGAAAACAAAACCATACTACACATGCTATCAAAAAGTTTCTTAAAGCATACCTAACATCCATTTATACAGCTTCACCGATTACTTACATCTTTATGACTTATCACTCGGCTGGCAGCCCTTCCTTAAGCCCTACCTTCTAGATGCATTTTAATGTGTTTGTGTACTAGACACTCAATAAATTCAATTAAACTCCGCTAATTTCAGCCTAAATTTCAAAAAAGTTGTTTTGAATTTAGGTTCGAAATCTTGTTAAGTTTATTATTGAAGTCAGGATAATTGTTATTTAAAATCACTCCCATTTAACACACATAATATAAATGAATAGCAACCCACTATGAGTGACAATGTTGAGCGAAAAAAAACAAGCAAGATTAGAGAAAAGAAGGAAAAAAAACATGCCTGATTCGAGAAAAGTGGGGAAAAAACCAAGCTTGATTCGAGAAAAGTGGAAAAAAGCAAGCTTGATTCGAGAAAAGAGGAAAAAATCTTGCGTTATTGCGGTAACTGCTATTAAGATAATTATTAAGTTAGCGCATTACATAATACGGCGTCCGCCCATCGGTCGTCATATTTTCCTTTCAAAGAAAGAAATTTTGATAGTTGCAGCACAGGGGTCACAATAGCTATAAAGTTCCGTCGTAGCATATTTCACTTTTTATTAATTTTTCATTTGTTAAGTGATTCTATATGTTTATGATTGTGAATTTGATGGAAAATGCTGTTTGAACGGCAGAGTGTTCATTCAGAATGAAAGGTTGTCAGGGCTGACCAATGTTGAAAATGAAAGAAATGTTTTATCCAGTTGAAGGTTAAAATGTTGCTGGCTGTGATTTTTTTCTTTGCTAAGACGAAACACTTTTTCGATTTCATTGTTTCCTTTTTCATTTTAAAGTGGATGCTCTTATGTTCGGTAATGGGGCTGATTTTTCCACGTACGACAGAGATAACGACAAGAGTTCTCACCGTTGTGCCCAGAAGTTTCACGGTGCTTGGTGGTACAAAAATTGTGGCATCTCCAACTTGAATGGTCGCTATCAACTTGATTCTGGTGATGATATCTCTGCAATGACCTGGAAGGAATTTCCGTCTACACGCAATCGCGCCCCGTTAATGAGTTCTACGCTGTTAATTAAGTAGATTAAATGTTCTGTCGAATTATAAACTTTCATTAAAAAACCGATACACTATTTGTTAGCAAAGATTTTTTTAGATTGATGTCTCATCATTCTATTACACTTTTGCTGGTGAAATATATGAATTTATCAGATTGATTTAGAATTAATCTACTGACGATATAATTCCGTACTTTTGACCAATGAGAGTGGTGCTTCGAAATCAACGCACTGAAATTCGCCTTTTTTCCTGGTCAGCAGCAAATGAAACGTTGGTTGAATACGTTTATTTCCTTCAGGTTATTCCTGTGTACATTTCTGGTTTTCTCTAATTTGGTGTAAAAACAATTTTGTAAGAGATTCTTAACTGATAACAGCATAAAATGGTAGAATACAACGAAAAGAAGTTCATTCCAAATGGCGTCGTCTTGTTACCAAGTGCAACCTGAAATTATCTGACGTCAACACTGCTTTTATCTATGTTTGGATAGGTCTTTATTCGTTTCTTTTACCTTATAAATTAAAAAGAAAATTTGATATTTCCCGTATAATATCATACATATTTCGCTCGTTAGACACAATGTATTCATGTTATACCCGTATTTTGCACTCGTGAAAAATATATAGATATTCTGTCATACTCGTGAAATATATCTGATATTCAACAGAAATTAATTATCCTCTACATTTCACGCGAGGTAAGGAAAGACAGTTGAAACGCGACGTGAAGTCACTCAATAGGATTGTGTGATCCTTTATGTAGCGTAACATTGTCGCAAATGAATGACGTCATCGGTATTGACACATATTTCATTGGACTTTAATGGGTTGACAGCAAACCCTCCATTATAAAAGTAAATTCAACAAAAGGAGTGAAATACGAAAAAAAGAATGAAGCATTATTGGTCACAGCTCACAAATATATCAAGTTCATTTCATTACTACCCAACATTACTAACCAGAGAAATAGTTATGCTTGAGTATCCGTCAGTTGTCAATTACATTTACAGAAATCAATCAGTTTGGTCGTTGGCTTTGAGAACGTAGAAGTAATAATGTTTGATTGTGATATGTTTGTGTATTTTAACGTTGTTTGAACATGTATATACACATTTATATTATATAACACCATTCATGCACAACACACAATACTTACAAGTAGTTATATTTACATTTTTTTTACAGTTTTCAATTCCTGAATCAAATATTAATAGATGCTTTTTACGTCACATTTCATGCCAACGAATTTTATTCTAATAATCTATATATTATGTGATTAGTTTGAGACAAGAGATTACAAAGATGTAGAACAAAAGGTAAGATCAAGTATAAGTGAACATAGAATAATGAAGGAATGAAGGAGTGATCATGCAACAGAAATAAGTATATAGGATGAAACAATGGGGTCATATAGACTGACCAAGGATACTAGGATTCTAGGTAACCACAACAAACAGTACAGCAGAATAACTATGATGAAGGTGATGAACATGAAGGGAGAGATGAAGAATGAGAACCTGCAGGAGGTCGTCTGTAAGACAATGAGAAATGAAGCCAAAATCATGGCATATTGCTGCATATGGAAATATCTAGTGAATATTTAGTTTAAAATACTGGAACTATTCATGTACATCATTGTTACAGTTACTGGTTTGTCAATAGGCTGAGTCTAACATAAGGCTTGGATTTATCATTAGACCAGGGTCTGTAACAGACCGTTATGAGGCTGAGTCTAACATAAGGCTTGGATTTATCATTAGACCAGGGTCTGTAACAGACCGTTATGAGGCTGAGTCTGTCATGAGTCTTAGGTCTATCATTAGTTTGTCCTTAGGCCCATGACGTTTATTTCCAGGCTGATATAAAGCTGAATATGTCATTCAGGTTAGACCTGTGATGCTGTCAAGGTCAGTTATTGGACCCAGATCTGTCATGAGGCTAAACTCTTGTCACTAGATCAAGGCTGAAGTCTATTGACATATTTAATTTTTGCCTATATCAATATCATATATCTATTGACAATATTGAGTAAAAAATGATAATATACATATCCATTTATACACTGAAGTGGTAGAGGGGGATGGGGAGATGAAAAGTAAACATACGTGATGGATATTATTCAATTGTACATTGTATTTGTTAATACATGTATAATGATTCCCAAGTGATTTGAGCATATTTTATTTATTGTTTATCATTCAGCTTGTAAAATGAGTTTTTTTCCAATTTGTATGACATCATGATTGTTTTGGGTACTATATTGAACTACAATAGAGCTATCTCTGGTACAAGGTATGCTTTTACATGTGTATGTAAATGTGTTGTGTCTTTGTAGGTGTGTGGACAAGTTTCTTTTCATATATATCTGTCTCTTCTTTCTATTCTTATCAGATGTGGAATATCTTATCAATATAGTGCTACTATAGATGGATGATATTAACATTCTTTTTTCAAACTGTCATGGCTGAGGTGACTTTCTGAAAAGACTGGGTTCTCATCTGGAAGATATATTGGGAGAATAGGCGCTTATTATATGATATTATGAAATTTACGAAATAAAATTATATTTCAGGTATAATTTTGAAGGTGATTTTGAAAAAGCATTCGACTCTGTATCTTGGAATATCAGTAAAGTTTTGAATATTTTTTTTGGTAATGATATCTTAAGATGGTTTAATACATTACATAATAATTCTTCATCTACAGTTTACCATAGAGGGAACTTAACATTACGAAATTAAAAGATCTTGTCATTAAGGTGACCCAATTGCCCCCTTTATCTTTATGTGATCAAACACTTAGCTATACGTATGAGGAAAAATAGGCATACTAAAGGAACTAAGTTGGAGAATTTTGAAACCTTTATATCGCAATATACGGACGATATATTTTTTGCGCAAGATGGATCAGAGAAGTCACTCATGAAACTCTCATTGAATTAAACAGATTTAAAAGTAGATGCTGACAAAACTGAAATAATAATAATTTGGATTGGTAGCAAGTAATAAAATAAAGATAAAATGCTTCCAGAGTTTAATCTGCAGTGGGGAAAATAAATAAACTATACTTGGTATAGAATTTGATGTAAAGTTAAACAACATTCCCAAACTAAATTTTCATAAAAATAAAGAAAAATTAATGAATGGCTAGACAAAAAGGAAATTAACCGCTCTTGGTAGGATTCATGTTATTGAATCATTATTGACATTCCAGTTCAATCATTTGTTTATATTCCTTCCAAACCCTAGTGAAGAGGTGATTAAAGAAATTAATTCCATACTTTTTGATTTTTTTATAGAATAGTAAAACAAATAAAACTATGAGAAATGTGGTTGTTTTAAAAATCTATTACAAAGTCTAGAAACACTCTTAGGTGCTCTTGATATATTATTTTCAAATGTTCTACAAGAAAACATATTACCTGTTTTCATAGTGTTAGAATCTGGAAATCAAGAATCGGATCATCTCACTATGTGTAGCTAGTTTAGTATGTAAAATGACAAAAGTCATGAAAATCGCTCGCATTTCCCACTTATAACCAGTTTGTGTTTTATATACATACTTCGTAAAAGCTTTACGAGAATCGCATGTTTTTGTTTAATAATCAATTAAATATTTGGAAACTCAACCAGAGCAAATTCTGATCAACATAATGTAAGTTATATGATGTTGTACATGTCAATTTTGTTTTGAAATCTACAAAGTTGTTTTAATTCACAATGTCGAGTGTCGACAATCAAGCAGACGACGCTTAATACTTTTGAATACATGATCTTATTCTCATCGTCCTTCTTTAGGAGTCGTCATGTGTACTTATTAGTAATTATTTTGCGCTAATTTAATCCTCCTCGATACTCCAGGGGTCACGATCACTTTCGCTCTCTGCACCCCTGGAACATGTCATGGCCAAATGCTCCGCTTGCGACACCATGTGGAAAAGAGACTAGTTTGATCCTTTGATGTACATCAAACGAAACTCCAGGTCGCGTAATGGTATGTGTATTGTAATGGATTTGAAGTTGGCTAGTGCTCCTTTGTAATCTTCAAAAGGACCGTATTAGCCTGTGATTGGTCAGGATTTTTTCGTCTGGAACCAATCAAATTACTTCACGTGTGGCTTCAATTTTTCCATGACCTGTTCCCCTGGAATATCGAGGTTGTGATTTAATCTGACTTTAATTTGAACCTTGAATTTAAATTCTGTTGACATGTCGTTATTTTGTTCGGTTCTTTTTAACTTTTACAATATTTATTTCATGAAGAAAAGAATGGACACTCTATTGAATACTTTAATTCTATATGACCTGGTTCTTTAGCTTTGTAGTATTCTTTTTTTAAATAGTATTAAAACTGACAAAGTCCTTATATGGATATGTGTTACAATTCCCGACAGAACTGACATTTTTAGCAGCCATTTGTCTTGTTATTTTGTATTTATGGTTATATCTACAACAAATAAAGACAATGTTTCAAGAAAATCGCTTGTGTTGTGTTTTATGTCGTATGCGGTGATAAAGCGATCTATGGACCATAATCACTTCACCGTTTAACCAAATTGTTACATACAAGGTCATGATGTTTGCAGACGTCTGATTGCGTGCCAACATGTCAACTTAATCATAATCCAAACTCCCTCCAATTCAATAAAACTAGGGTAAAACGTGAAGAAAACAATTTACACGGAAACTCATGAAAAAGTATAAAGATAATAAGACCAGGTGTTCCGAAAGAGTAAGCGTTCTTCTCTCCATCGACGACATTCGCCATGTAAACCTTGGTTTATTCAAGTACGTAATGTCGCGTTCTGAAATGAGGACAAGGTATAAAACAACGAAACCAACAGGCAAACCAACGAGCATAAAAAACGTCCAGATTTATATCGCAAAATTAATAGAATTTTTGTTAATGAGATCACTAAAAAAAAAACCTTTCCAATAATTATCACCAACCCTACATCTTTTGACACTCTGTGTCACGAGTTTGTCCGCCAGTTGACGACTTCTTGCACGAAAATCGTGATAATGGGAACAGGTCTTTGTATATCGAATCAACTGCATTCTTTGTCACTAAAAGAATATTGACATCTTTACGCTTATCATACAGCTTGGTTAAAATATGTCCGTGTTGGTTCCGTTCTAGGAAAAGATCGAGATAAACCGGCTGATGTAGAAGGGCCTGTCTTTAATTTCCATTTTCCATAAGTATAAACTGACCTTCATGTGAACTGTCTAGATAGGGCTCAGGTAATTACTTATATAATCAGAGAATAAATTAATACATGGATATGTGTAATAGATTAAGTAACAACAGTATGCTTCTGGCCACTAGTCAATGCACCACTGGTCGATAGATGTCAATAACTACATTAAGGTAATCTCATTCTGGTATTTAGATTAGGATTAAAAATCTGACATATGTATAACTGAACACAGTTTTGATTGATTTAATAAACTTATATATTAACTAGTAATAGTTCACATCTATAAGTAAAGAACTAGATATCTTATGATTTCCGTCCGTCTATTACTAAAAAACTAGATATCTTATGATGTCCGTCCGTCTATTTCTAAAAAACTAGATATCTTATGACGTCCGTCCGTCTATTACTAAAAAACTAGATATCTTATGATGTCCGTCCGTCTGTTACTAAAAAACTAGATATCTTATGATGTCCGTCCGTCGATTACTAAAAAACTAGATATCTTATGATGTCCGTCCGTCTGTTACTAAAAAACTAGATATTTTATGATGTCCGTCCGTCTATTACTAAAAAACTAGATATCTTATGATGTCCGTCCGTCCGTCTTTTACTGAAGAACTAGATATTTTATGATGTCGCCCGTTTAAAGAACTAGATATCTTATGAGGTCAGTCCGTCTATCACTGAAAAAAATAAATATCAAATGACGTCCGTCCGTCTTTTACTAAAGAACTAGATATCTTATTATGTCCTACAGTCAGTCCGTCTATTACTGAACAACTAGATATCTTATGACGTCCGTCCGTCTATTACTAAAGAACTAGATATCTTATGATGTCCGTCCGTCTATTACTAAAGAACTAGATATCTTATGATGTCCGTCCGTCTATTACTAAAGAACTAGATATCTAATTATGTCCGTCCGTCTTTTACTGAAGAACTAGATATTTTATGATGTCGCCCGTTTAAAGAACTAGATATCTTATGATGTCAGTCCGTCTATCACTGAAAAAAATAAATATCAAATGACGTCCGTCCGTCTTTTACTAAAGAACTAGATATCTTATTATGTCCTACAGTCAGTCCGTCTATTACTGAACAACTAGATATCTTATGACGTCCGTCCGTCTATTACTAAAGAACTAGATATCTTATGATGTTCGTCCGTCTATTACTAAAGAACTAGATATCTAATTATGTCCGTCCGTCTATTGCTGAACAACTAGATATCTTATGACGTCCGTCCGTCTATTACTAAAGAACTAGATATCTTATGATGTCCGTCCGTCTATTACTAAAGAACTAGATATCTAATTATGTCCGTCCGTCTATTGCTGAACAACTAGATATCTTATGACGTCCGTCCGTCTGTTACTAAAGAACTAGATATCTTATGATGTCCGTCCGTCTTTTACTAAAGGACAAGATATCTTTTTTCTGTCTTTCTGATACAATAAAGTTCTACTAGAATACGTATGATATGTATTTCCGTTACTAAGGAATAAGTATTCTGTGATATTTGGGTCCTTATAACCAAAGGACTAGTATTTAGTGGTGTCTCACTCTCCGATACAAAGGTACCAGAGATTTTATAATGTCTGTCCTTCCGTTTTCATAATGCAACGTCTTACCATCAGTAACAATGTTTCTTATGGTTTTTGTTCCTCCGTCTTTTAGGTAATAACAATTATTGTGATGTGTTTCTTTCCGTTACTACGTGACTGGATACTTCGCGGGATTTTTTCTCTCTTATCCAGGAACTAGAAATTCTGTGGGGTCTGTCACTGTATTACTAAGGGACTAGCTATTTGTAATGTCTATCCCTCCGTTTCTAATGGACAAGTTATTTTGTGATGTCGGTCCCTCTGTTACTAAGGGACTAGCTATTTGTGGTGTCTGTCCCTCTGTTACTAAGGGACTAGCTATTTTGTGATGTCGGTCTCTCTACTACTAAGGTACTAGCTAATTGCGATGTCTGTCCCTCTGTTATTAAGACACGAGCTATTTGTAGTGTCAGTCCCTCCGTTACTAATATACTAGATATTTGTAGTGTCTATTCCTCTGTTTCTAAGGGACAAGCTATTTTGTGATGTCGGTCCCTCTGTTACTGAGGGACTAGCTATTTGTGGTGTCTGTCCCTCTGTTAGTAAGGGACTAGCTATTTTGTGATGTCTGTCCCTCCGCTACTAAGGTATTAGCTATTTGCGATGTATGTCCCTCTGTTATTAAGAGACTAGCTATTTGTGGTGCCTGTCCCTCTGTTACTCAGGAACTAGATATATGTGGTGTCTGTCCTCTGTCACTAAGGGACTATATTTTTGTGATGCCTGTTCCTTCCGTTTCTAAGGTACTAGCTATTTGTGGTGTCTGTCCCTCTGTTACTAAGGGACTAGCTATTTTGTGATGGTTTGCTATGGTCCTCGTTTCTTTGTCGGACAGAGTAACAAGTTCGTTCTGTATGAACATGTACTAACAAGAAATACCGTCAAAAAGCAAATTTTTAATTACTAGAAATTTTTTTTATCTGAAATCTCGTTGGTATTAACAAAGTTTGATATAGACAAATATACTTAAACAGCGTACTAGGATTAAGAAAAATTCATCGTTTGATAAAAACAAGTCAAACGATAATATGTTTAAAAAGGCAAAAGTACACACCGGGATTAAATGAAAGGATGATATTTATGATAAATAACCCAATACCGTTTACAATAAGGGTAGAGGATAATCCCTGTCGTTATACCATCAAAACACTCTATAAAACAGAGAACTTGATACCCGGCAGCTAACCATACCGCCATGATATCAGTGAAGTTGATTTTTCCTTTTGTGAATTTGAGACCACCGGATCGTGCTATACATCATACCAAATTCCATACATGCCGATACATCAAATGTAGAATTCTATGAAAATGTTCTAAAAGGTGTGAGTTTGTGTTAATAGTACATGCGTGTAACCGGGGTGTTTGCTGTACATATGTATGTCATTTACACAATAATATAAGGAACGGTTCAAAAAAGCACTGTTAATGTTCAGCGACCAATCAAAATGTCGTCAGTTATTTCATTGGTGTCACATAAAATTGTTCCCCCGAAATCAAGTTCATGGTCAGTTCTTCAGAGTATGAAAGGCGGTGACGATTTATATACCTCTGCAAAACATATCACCAAGAACTTGTGCGAACTGGGCAGGCCGGCTGGTGTCATATTCAATGATATACTGCGGTCCTCTAACAAACGGCTCGACCTGTTTCCTATCTACACCACCGCCAATGGTAACAAAAACGAAATTTATCCCAGCATCTCGCGCCATCTTGATTTCTATTTCCGCTTCCTGTGTGAGTTCGCTATCCAAGAACGCAAATAATACTCGTTTGGCAATCGGTCGTCCGCCATTTTGAACCAAGAACCCTGTCAATCTGGCTTTCTTTACCAGTCCTGCCAATTCAGAATACCTGGATGTTTGTTTTGGTGTTACTTTCTTTGTAACAGAGGACAATTCTTTGTTTGGGATGTCAGAACATGAATGTACAAAGATCCCGATTTGAAAATTCGTTTTTAAGTGATCGTTCAAGCTTGCGGAGTTAATACTGTCGATGATACTGTAGGAAACGGTGGAGCCAAGAGAAGAAACGTCCAACAGGAAAACTGCATCAGTATCGTTGTCTTTTTTGCAAACTGAAAAAGCAAAATACCAATCTGGGTGAGCATTCTTACTATTGTAAGAAATCTTTGTCATGCTGTTTCTTGCATACAAATTGAATGTATTTTTATGCTTTACATGTGTGTAATCGTTGGAAACGACCAATTTCGCTACCAATAAACACCAGACGTCCATGTTAAGAAATTACAAATTTCCGAAGCTACAGTTATTTTGGAATATTCTTTGAATCAACTTTAACCATATTTGAGATTAATCACTTGTTTTACGTCAGAAAACAATCCATTTTGAAGTTAAAAAATACCTTGACCTTGGCTTCAAATTTACCTGACTGCAGGTCCACCACGTTACAAGTTCTAATTGCCAGCACTGTTTTAATGCTTTCTAGAGCATCGAAAGTGGACACGTTGAACATGAAACTCTTGACACCTTTCTCAGGATTGCTTGAAATATGGGTCAGTTCCTTGATATCTACGTCATCAGTGACCCCTACAGCGAACACATAAACGCCCATTTGATGGAGCAAGGCAGCCTCGATTGCTGTAGACTTCGGCGATCTCGAATAGCCATCCGTTATTACCACCAACACATGAGAAACATCTTCACGAGCGACACCTGGTGTGAATACTTGATGTCGGATGTTACGTAATGCTGACGCGGTATCAGTTCCCCCTCTAAGGTACGATACTTTGTCGATTGCCTCCAGCAGGTCTTTTTTGTCTGAATGAGTCTGAAAGTCAAATTCCTGACGATATTTGTGACTAAAAGTCGATAGTCCAATTCTAGTTTTATTTTCACCGATGTCAAACATGGCGACTACGTCTTTGACAAAGTCCAGCTGTTTCCGGTTTTCCGATTTCCGGATACTACTTGATGAATCGAGAAGAAAATACACATCTGCTGGTTTACCACTACAACCTGAAAAAAGAAAATCACATTAACACAGAACTGTATGTATCTTATCAAGTCCTCATATCGTGTGTTTTAACTCCATTATCGTTTTAATGGAAAGATAGCAGTATTTCAATGGACATTATAGTGACAGGATGATGTCAACAGTTGCAAATCAAAGTTCTAAACGTTTTGACAAGGTTTTACTTTTAGCCAGACCAAGACTTTACATATTTACCATCAGCAACGTCAGTGCTGTCCGCCTGCAAAGTGTCTTCAGGAACAGGCGGGTCTGTAAAACACAAAGAGTTAAATAGAGTATAGAGTAATATGTGTTAAGAATTACATACAAACCAATAAGATAAAACAAGAACCATAATTTATTCTCAGAACAAAAAAAAAAAAAAATAATAATAATAATAATAATAAACACGCTCTACCAAATAAAGCAGTTTCCAAAACCAAAAACACTCTCCAAACAAAAACTATCTAAAAATATATGTATATATATATATATATGAAAAAACCTCCCAAAATAAAATAATTCCAATACAAACAAACTCACCAATGATATATTTCCCTCCCTGTCAGAACAAGACAGGCCTTTATAATTCTTAATTCTTACCTGTAGCTTGATGGTCATTGTGAACCGGGTCAAGTGTATCTAGAAATAAAACGATATAACAACAGAAAAGGAAATGGCGGCCATCTTGAATTCTGCTAAGAAATCTTATTTAATCATACATGTATCTACAAGTCGGATAGTTAGTCTCCTACCAGTACAAAAATTAAAGGAAGGGAACGAATACATTGATAAAATACTGAAATTCATCCGGCATTTGTCGTTTATCGGTCGTATACATTTGAAAATAATAATACCCATTTACTCATGCTCAAAGGTGTGACGCTTACCCTTGCATGCCTGATTCGACAAGTGTTTCTGAATGGTTTGTAACGACCGAAAGCTGGGAACATGGAAGACATGGTCGATGGTTGGTTCACTTGCAATATAGTGCAGTTCTGTTTCCTCTGCGTCCTGTCCGACTCCTACAGCAAAGATTGTGACTCCTCGGTCTCGCACATCCTTGGCAGCCATTTTTGTCGCGTTTCTATTGTGACTCATTCCGTCTGTAATCACAACGACGATTTTCCTTGCTCTGTCTCTGGCGCCATTTATAGGAGTGAACATCCGATTTTTCACTGCCCAAAGTGCTCTTGCCGTACTTGTGCCTCCAGTGAGGTGGGGCACGCGGCGAATGGCGGACATGACGTCAGATTTATTATGGCTGTCTTTCAACTGAAGTTCGATCTTTAATTTGTGGCTGAAAGTTAAAATCCCGACTCTTGTTTGGTTTTCCAGGAGACCTATGTCAAATATCTTCGTGATATTTTCTACAAAGTTAAGTTGTCGCACGAAATCTTCCGGCCAGATGCTTGAGGACGAGTCCAATATGAAGACAACATCGGAGGGGTGCGGGGTACACACAAAAGCTGGAGAGATATACCAAACTAAATTTACTATGGGTCATTCTATTATCAATTAATGAAATTCTGAAGTAGGACAAGTATGAACGCCACACATCTTATGATGCTCTGGTTATAATCAATGTTATTTTTCCCAATTTTAGGTTAATAATCACGGTCAAGCTCACGGTGAAAAAAATATTGGTACTTACTAAAAGGTCTGGTGACAAGGAACATGCGTGCCAAATATGGAAGCTCTACCTTTTAAGGTGCAGTAGTTATAGGCAAGGTTAAAGTTGACAACAGACAAACAATTAGACAAACAGACAGTACAAAAACAACGAAATCCTATGGCATAAAAATTTTATGCTTTGACATGATCAAGAACATTGACCTGAGAAACACAAATTGTCACGCCTGCGGAGTGTTGAATTATGCATCTCGAATCGTCACCTCAGGCTACGTATACAAAGGTTCTTATGGACTGAGCCATGTCGACAATCGAACCATCATGATACCTCGACATATCCTATCACAGGGACCTGCGATTTAAACTAGTGTTACACATCGACATATCCTATCACAGGGACCGGAGATTTAAACTAGTGTTACACATCGACATATCGGGACCTGAGATTAAAACTAGTGTTACACATCGACATATCGTAACACAGGGACCTGAGATTAAAACTAGTGGTACACATCGACATATCCTATCACAGAGACCTGAGATTAAAACTAGTGGTACACATCGACATATCCTATCACAGGGACCTGAGATTTAAACTAGTGTTACACATCGACATATCCTATCACAGAGACCGGAGATTTAAACTAGTGTTACACATCGACATATCGGGACCTGAGATTAAAACTAGTGTTACACATCGACATATCGTAACACAGGGACCTGAGATTAAAACTAGTGGCACACATCGACATATCGTAACACAGGGACCTGAGATTAAAACTAGTGTTACACATCGACATATCCTATCAAAGAGACCTGCGATTTAAACTAGTGTTACACATCGACAAATCATATTACAGGGACCTGATATTTAAACTAGTGTTACACATCGACATATCCTATCACAGGGACCTGAGATTTAAACTAGTGTTACACATCGACATATCCTATCACAGTTACCTGAGATTTTAAATAGTGTTACACATCGACATATCCTATCACAGGGACCTGAGATTTTAAATAGTGTTACACATCGACATATCCTATCTCAGGGACCTGAGATTTTAAATAGTGTTACACATCGACATATCCTATCACAAAGACATGCGATTTAAACTAGCGTTACACATCACCATATCTTGTCACAGGGACCTGAGCTTCAAACTAGTGTTACACATTGACATATCCTATCACAGAGACCTGAGATTTAAAATAGTGTTAGACATCGACATATCATATCGCAGGGACCTGAGATTTAAACAAGTGTTACAAATCGACATATCCTATCACAGGGACCTGAGAATTAAAATATTGTTACGTATCACCATATCTTGTCACAGGGACCTGAGATTTAAACTAGTGTTATACATTACCATATCATATCACAGGGACCTGAGATTTAAACTAGTGTTACACATCGACATATCATATCACAGGGACCTGAGAATTAAAATATTCCCACGGAATCGAAAAAAGCAAGATTAAATGCTTATACTGCAGTTAAGACGGAATGTTTTCAATATTTTTAATAAATACAAGTTGCTATTACTAGAATTGTCTAATGGATTTCGTTAAAGATATATTCCAATATTTTGAATTTAAAGATGATCAAACAGTATTACTCTGGAAAAATACGATTGTGCAACATATTAAAGAAATATGAAACAGCGCAATCAAATTATAATAATTGATTTACTCACAACCTTTTAGAAATTATGAATATTCTCCGATAGCTATGTGGAAGAATAGTGTCTATACTGAGATTTACAGTCGTCTCCCGTTTCGCTCCGAACTGGGCGGGAGCCATCTTTAAATTGTCACGGAGTGTGATTAACGGTCTCTCTTTAGCCATTGTATTCATAATATCAAAAACTTACTCAAGAAGGATTTCTGTATCAAAATCGCGCAGTGGACACGCTTGGTTTTTGAGATTTTCAATTTTAGCATCATACATATGTAAGAGTTATCCCCCTTACAACGGAATCTGTAGAGAATGTATTCATAATTCCATATCAATGTTATTCCGGCAAAATTCATGGAGAAATAAAACAGGCTCAATTAAGTAGTTACATAAAGTTCGACTTAAGTAGAACTTGAAATGTTTAAGCATTGAAACTTTCTGTTGTCGATTTCATGGGGAAATGAATTGAGTTGCTCTTCAGACAAATACTGAAACAGAAAGAAGGAGCCCTAATGTCTCGATAGAACTTCACTAATTGCTAATGGATTGAATAATACATATTCATTCAGATATCATTCTTTAACACAGGGACCTCAGAATCATTTACAATTATCACCATCAGCGTTTGAAGGAATATTGCTTAAATGTGTTGATAGTCTCACAATACTCAACACATATAAAAACAATGGCGATTTCTCAGGTCCAGTTGTTCGCTAACAAAAAAGGTCATACTAGAGGCTGTCATATATGTAAACTTCCTATTAAACATTTTATTGCTTCTATTTGAGCACGTGCAGCGATTGTGTAATACAGAAATAATGAGGAATGAATGTGCCATATGTTCTACAAAAGCACACCAGACCTTACTAGCACATATGTACCTGTATCGCCGACAGACAGACCAACCACCTGCAATGGACGAGAAACAACACGTGTACTTTAAAAGTGATTTCTGCAAAGATAAATTTTAGAGATAAAGATGTTAAATAGTAGAGTCACGATAATCTTAATCCGTAGTCCGGAAAACTCGCGATCCGGACGGGTTTTCGCGTTTTCGCTTTAGCGGGTTTTCGTCTTTTCGTTATTTCTTTTTAATCTTTTTAGACCGGAGTCTTTTCGCGGCCAACAAAGCGAAAAGACAAAGTGTCAGGTATAAGCCACCATACATAATCGTAATATAAACAAATATTTCCGTTTGAATTTCAAAGCCACAATATAAACTAACCAGATATGTTTACTGTTCGAGAAACAACTGACACCCAAAGCCCATATATCGAGACAATTCAATACTTAACGGATATAGCAACGCGTTTGTAGGTCGGCTACACTGAAACAGCAACCCGAAAAGATCTCAATTCGAATGATTTTGTCTAAGAATCAGTGTGTTCGGATTAACGAGTGTCTGCTGTAATCAATACTGAAATAATTCAGTAAATACACTCTCACTTATCAATCATTTCTAGATTTTTATTTTGTTCGTGTACGACTGACAATTTTTTTTATCAAAATTCAAAGTGGCTGTCATATTTACATTGTATCCTCGATTTGAAATGTGATATTTTTTATCAATGACGGACTTTTGTTTTTGAGAAACAATATAACCACTTATTCACCGTGATAAAAGTCTATAATTGTGATATCCGATATGGATCTAATATTATCATATTTCTCCAAGTTTACAGAACGGCATATAATATATAGCGAACAAGCAAATACAAATTAGAAAATAAGACAGGAAGTCATACTACAAGGGAGCTGACAATAGGCTCACATTTGGGATCAACCATGCTAACGATATTCAGATTTTGTCAGCGAAATTTCTGGTGGTGATCCTTTAAACGTAGACCCATGGTAATACTAAATTATCCGTTCAAGAAAACGTGTTAATAGCAACAAAAACGCAAAAAATTATTGTAGAAATTAATAGATTCTGAACATTGTATTGCCTGCACTCCCTTTCTGTCCTAATTAATCCCCTTCTTCTATATCTATATTGTCACATTCTCTCTCTCTCTAGTTAACTTGAAAACTGTCTTAATTAAGTATAAAAGTCTTAATTTTGTATTAAGTAACGATCCTTCCGATGCCGACGGCACAAGAGAAACGTTTTTCCAAAGACGAACGGAGTGAAAAGGAGAACGCAAATCAAAGCACGGGATGTGATGAACAATAGATAAGTCGAAAGTTTTTGAAAAGTGCAGTGTCAACTTCTAACATCGGTGTCGGAGGGGGACTGTCCTCATTCTAAGTATTAGTATGTATACTTGTATATGTTAAAATGTAGTTATGTGTGTTTTTAACTACCCCCTACTTTATGTCCCTGCCTCCCTCTCTCTCCCACTCTCTCCTTCTCTCCTGTGTATATAGATATACATGTATGTAACATGCCATCTTGTAAATATGTGTATTGTTTTAATTTTTGGGTAAGGGCTTAATATAAGTTATCATACTTGTGCCCAAATCCCACTTGTACTTATTTGACAAAATAAATGTGTTTAAAACGTTGACCCCTCCCCCTAATACATATAGTTTACTTTATCGCAAAATTGTCACTTCAACGGGAAGATATTTTCTAAAAGGTGAATTAAAATCTATATTCTACAGGAAGATTAAATTTATCGATTGTTTTATTTTCGTTGTATTCGAAAAAAAGAAAACACAGCGAAATAAACATATCTGTGTGATATAACTATACAGTTCATATTGCGCTGAGGAGTATTTCAATGTTTATTCAAATGTATATTTTCCATGGAGGATTTTTATAAAACAATATTATGATAGAAAAAAAGACCCACTATAAAATATTTGAAATATAAATGTATATTTTTTATCAAAAATCGCGACATTTTGATGTAAATGAAATACATCCTTGTAAGATCCATTTTTTAACAAGTAAATTTCAAGCATTTTTTTTGCAAAATTGCAAAATTGTAGCTTAAGTTTATATTTTTAAATTTCCAGTTTTTAGATTTACAATATAACATCTTGATATGTTTCCAATTGAATTAAATTTGATATGAAATATGTATATCGTAAATATAAAGAATGAAAATATTTCAGAATATGTTCGAAACTTACCATTATCAACATTACGTGCACACACATCTGTGTTGCCATCTCTTAATCACTGGATCAGCTCAGTACATTGTATTACCTCAACAGAAACGAACTTGCAGACAGCTGTCTTCACATTGTCTATATAAAACTCACATATATACTAAAGAATAATATTATCCAGCCAATCAGAAGTGGTTTATTAATTGCCCGCACACTTCTTTTTTTAAGTGCGGATGGGGGGCGAACACACGCGTTGAGTGGTTCGTGGTGTTCCGTACAGCTGGGCTATTGTTTACGTGTCTCGTGACAAGTGCGATCGTGAGAGGTCGTCAAAACTTAACTCAGTACCATCTAGAGATGTATTTTAAATATTTCTAATTAGATTTATAATTTTCGTTTTGGTTTCACACCTCCCCAAAGAAAGGCAAAATAAGTTACAGAAATTTACTGAATCAATCTTAATTTTCTAAGTATTTTTCGCACAAGCGAAATAATGTCAAGTATTTGTTGATTTGAAAGTGAAGTGTTTTTGTGGTGTTTAAAACTAATCAAAGGGATGAATATTTGACTCTGAAATGTCAGACAAATATCGTTCATTAATCCAGATTCGCTCAATAACGCAAAGACACAACATGTCGAGCAAAAATCTACATTGTATGTGGGATAGTAAAAGAACAAGACGGATAAAAGATGAATACAAAAAAAGCGAAAATATTCAGCTGGAAATTATATTTAGAAATTATATGACCATTTTGATACCATATCTCTCATCAGCCCAAGAGTTTTGATATCAGACAGTGGCCCGAGGGCTGATAAGGGGTGTGATATTAAAAAAATCATATAATAGTCTTTTTATCTTATGTATTTTTCTTTGAAAAACGAACAAACCACACAAAAACAATAACCTTTTGAATGAATCATTTGATCAACAACATGACAGCAATGATACATTTATTCACTGATATCGACAGATATGACAACACAAAAGCGTATGAAAACAGTAACAATAAGGCATTTTAAAAAAAGTTAACAAGTAAGAAATCCCAACAAATAATCATTGCCTCGCAATCACTAGTTCTAGTCTCCGTTCTTTAATTATCTGTTTCACTAATAAAGGAAACCAATCCGGAAACAGCACAATCCGGAAATTGGAGTTGGTTTTAATTTTTTTTTTGTAAGAAAAAAATGCATTTCCTCCAGATCAACAACATTTATATTTAAATCAGAAAGCCAAAAATCGAAGCGGCAATTTTTTTTTGAAAAATGAGAGGGGATGTGATATCTCAGGTCTCTTGTGAAAATTATTTGTATGTTTCCATCCCTACTTGGAGACAGTTTATGTTCATCAGAGTTGAAGAACGGACCACTGTGTGCTGTAAACAATCTCAAACCTTAGCTTAGGTCTCGTCATATGATGATGTTAGGTAGCATATAGCCTTAACGTTAATACACGTTTGGTTATAATCCAAAGTAGCAAACACCCCTAACTTTAATACACGTCAGACCATAAATCAAGGTACAGTAGCATACCTTGTTGACTTCTGAGAGTAAAATCAAAACTTCTATCTTTACACGTCAGCTTATAAGAAGGTACATGTAGCATATGTCCTTAACTTTAACACACCTTCATTATATAATGTATGGTAGCATACACCCTTAACTTTTAGATGCAATATCAAACTAGATACTCGATCATTGAAAGTTTTTTTTTCTCAAATAGAATTTGAGCTCATTAAAATGATTAAATAAAGAAACTATTATCTGTTTATCATCATACGAGTTTTCCTCATCGGCACGTATAGACGTCCGTCAAAGAAGTGCTTCCAATACATGGAGGACGCCGAATTTCCGGTGTCTATTGTGTACCTCCCGTTAAGATTAGCGTGTGAGCATGCGCGATACCACCAGGCACCGTGACGGGTCTCGGCACAATTTCTTGTCAGAACCCCGTCGTGATCGCGATCTCTCGTAGTGAACATTTCTCCTCTGAGGTTATTCATCCCATTGCCTATGAAATAAAACACATATACAAATAAAAAAAATGATGATGATATAAAGTTTCACTTTCATTTCAAATTCTACTAATCGTTAACAATTTAATTTCCCATTATTCTACTCATTGTTTTTCTATCTAAAATTTTCGTTCTTACACACATTTAATGTGAGAATGAAATCACCGATATTTAAAATATCGATAAAATATACTATTTTCGCTTTGTCGGTACGGCGCAAACAAAATCATTGTTATCTACATATATACATGTCAAATTGGACGGTAAATATCCAAGGACATACTTATGTTGCCGGAGAAACCGTCCAACGTCAGTCTGTATCCGTCAGCTTCATTAGATATCCGGAACAGTGAATACTCAGCAATACCTATAGTTCCATCCCAAGCCTCCAACTTAATCCGAAGTTTGTACGGGGTAAATGTAACCATGGAATAAATCTTTTCATTTCCTTAAAAATATACGGTTGCTGTGGTTATTGAAGTACATAAATAGATTTTTGTAGAATCTCGCTGTTTCACACAAATGTTATTTTCTATAGACAATATCGTAATCGTGATTTGACAATATTGTAAGTTATTCATCTGTACTGTTTTTTTGAGCTGAGAGATGTTTACACACACACACACATATATATATATAAATTGTTTAATTACCTAACCAAAAGTTTCCAGACAGTTGACCAAACCCGGTTCTATATTCCACCCAATCTCTGTAAAAATCAACGTCTATGCTTCCTCGATTCTGAATCACCTGCAAATAAAAACAGTTGCTGATTTTTTTTTTCTATGAAGAAAAACGGTGTGTGTTTCTACAATGTTATCTACAGTAAGTGTGGTTAATGAGATGACATACTTCCCGAAAGTCTCAATTGATATATGAATTAATCGCATGATCGGGCAAATATCAAGTGTATTCGCCGATATAATGTTTTGCACGTCACTAATGTAATACACATTTGAGCATTTTTTTTATTGGCTCGCAGAAATCGATTCTGAAATGAACCAATGACGTTCCGTCATTGAATTGAAGATTCCGAAAAAATGTCTGTTTCCGTTTGATTTTGTTTTCTTGAATTCAAAAGTGCAATGCTTCAATGCTCTAATGTTGTTTACCTCGTTAGTCAGAACCGTAACTAATGGCGTGACATTTGAAAATTACACAAATTTAACGTAGAATAAAACTGAACGCAAAGTTTCGCAGATAACCATGACATAGGTTTTATCGAATGGACCAACTACTTTATTCGTACAAGATATAAACATCGACAAACACAAGACAACAAACATCACGACGTCAACATTCAAGATCGAAATGTAAGCTCGGATTTGCAAGAACAACTGACAAAGCTCCAAATTCTTTTTTGAAATGAAATGAAAGACTAAGCTTACATTCCAGGGACCATCGTCAGTGTCCATGTCACAGAAGATGTCGAAACTCATCCCAGTGGGCGTGGTGATTCGATGAACGCCTGAGCTACATGTCGGGTCAACGTCAGAACAGTCATTAGGACCTGTGGAGCAAAAATTGAAATAATGTACATCAAAATATAAAATCTATAAAAAAAATATATACCGGCGTGTCAACAAAGTCATCAAACTCAAATTCGATGAAACCAGGATTAAATAGGAACATAGGAAAGAACAACATGGAGACTTCAGAAAAAGTACAAGGACAATAAGGTTTTGTAAGAGTGATCAAACACCAGCATGTAACACTTGGCTAGGTAGATAAGCAAGTAGAATTTTTAACTGATCCAGTTATTACTAATCTTTTCGAGCACCATATACCCAAAATGGCAAGCAATCCTTTCATGAGATGTGGTTTACGACGGGATTCAAAGGAAAGAATTACATAAATCGATTTAAAGAAAATGTATTGATGTAGCCTTATAGTAAACCCTTTAATATTTATTTTGAAGGGATTCCGTTTCCACTTTTTTTCAAGACAGGAATGAAATTTTGTTAGAGTTGGATACTTTGAAAATTAAATTAGACTAATTCACAAATCCGTTTTCAGTTTTGCAACATCGGTGAATAATGTTACTATTTCATTTAAAGCTCTTAATACAACAGAAAATATTTGAATAGAAAAAAAGTAATTTGCAGTACATAACATAACGAAAAGTGAGAAAAGAGAGAAATTAACAATCACACAGACTGGAAATTGGGAAAGCTGTATCACAATTGATTGATAGAAATTCGTGTTAGAGTGGAGTTGATCAATGGATAACTGGATTGGAGGTGACTGTAGATGGGACAAAAGTCTTTGCTTGATCAATGATGCCATGACCGTTGGGTAATTGTATAACACAACTGGTATAACGGTCACGCATTTATTGTTGTTCGGCCTAAGGAATGAATACATGGTTTTGAAAAAATCTAGCATTAAAATTATGGTTAGATTTACAAAGAAACTTTTACTTAGCACATAAACATCTCCAGATATACTAAGAATTGTCGTCTGGTCGTGAAGCGTGCAGTTGCCGGATGTTTCGTCGAATGAAGCAACCTTTTTTTGATTGGTTAATCCAGACATCAGACAGCGTGATAACGAGGCTGCTGTGGTCTGGGTCCCTCCAGTTAAGGGCAGATAACATGTGTCCACTGTCGCTAGTCTGACCCAATTCTGTTGAATTTGTGCAGAGGCTATTCCAAATCCTTTAATGTAAATGTAAGCATTTTCATTGTTAAATTTGAAAGAAAGTTAATATTTCTATAAAATCCCGGACAAAACAAATAAATATATGATACGGTAATGTCAGTCATTTTAATACGACTGCCAAGTTACTCGTACACCTACCCAATTCTATATTAATTTTAGAATCACAGACGAGTTGTAAAAGGACATAATAGCGATATGGTTGCGACTGAACCCATTGTTTGACTATACTCCATTCAACAAATAATTTTAATTGTCATTCACTTGTGTCTTTTACTCAAGTCTTCGGGATTGCAGGTGATATGCGCTGCTGGTAGAAATTAGTTTCCGGGCTTTGCCACATCTGTCCGGTTTTAATTCATTCAAATAGGGGTACGATTCATAATACAC